TCTCTTAAAATGTATCCAATTACATTATAAATGGGGGAATCTTTTTCTCCTAATTTATTCTTTTAGGTTTTCTACATTTGTATATTGAGGCTGTTGGTTCTAGCATATGCTTTTACTCAAGTTCATTTCCTTCGACCTTGTTGTGCTAGGATTATGCATAGGAGTGCTAGACTTATGTGCATCTAACATTGTTTGAGATTTTCATGAGAAAGCCCGAACTGATATTGTGTTTTTCTAAAATTAGCTTTTTCAGTAGCATTGCCTTGGCATGTTTTGCGTGTAATGTGATACTTCTTTTTGGCATAGTTGTACTGGTTCTGGTCCTTATGGTTTAAGTAAACCTATTGCTTATTTAAGTTCTTGTAATAAGTTTTCTTGCTCTCATAATTTTTGAAAACTAACAATTTGTTTGCTCATGTTGTGGGGTTATTTGGAAAACATGTAAATAAGTGCTATAGTATTAACTTATTGCTTAAAACGTTATATTCACTGTGAGCTGAATGCACTTTCCAGAGTGGGACCTCAATTACAGATCAAATGGATCTTCTTCAAGAACAGATGAAAATGCTAGCTGGAGAAGTGGCATTGTCTATGAGTTCTTTGAAAAGGCTGTCAGAGAAAGCGGCTAGCTGCCCTGAAGATTCACAGCTTAGGGTGAGCTAGATTCTATTATACTCCACACCTTTTGCGAATTTCTAAATTTAATTGGTAATGATTGATGACATATGATGTTCATATTGTTTAATATAGGATCAAATGCAGAAGTTGAAGAATGAAATTAGTGAAAAGAGGCATCAAATACGTGTTCTGGAGCAACGAATGATTGGATCAGTTGAAAAGACTCCCCATGCATCAAATAATGCTGAAATGTCACAGGTAAGCATGCGTCAAGTAATGGGTTGCTTATTGGCCAAAAAACAGTTATTGATCAGTTGGGACAGAAACGAGACAGTTTGATGTTACATGGATGGAATCAACAAACAGAAAATTAAGCTTTGAAAGTCCACATTTGTTAATCACAGAACTTTGGGCAATGCTACTGAATTGTGAAAAATTTTTCTAGTACCCAGCTTCAGGTTTCCAATTTAATCCACTGCTTTCCATGTCAGTTGGCAGAAGAAATGTGTAATATTTTATTAACCCTGTGCATTGGTGTGAGTAACAACTGCATTTGAGGTGAAGATCTTTTTCGAAAGAGCTCTTCTATCTCACTATTTTTTATTAATTTTTCAAGTTCTCCTGTTTATTATATTTCAAAGTTTCAATATCTCACAGTAACCTTATTTATTAAGGATCGAGATGAAAAATGATAAGTTAAAATGCTTTGACTTTTGAAATTTTGGTGACCAAAAATTAGACAATAAACTACTGCTTTATTATCCTTTTTTTGGGGGGGGGGGGGGGGGGGGGGAGGGGCTGGTAGCTAATTAGGTCGGAATATCTCATTTTGGTTGTTGTTCATTCTCTGAAACCTTTTTTTCTTGGCCCCTTTTAGTTGTTCATTCAGTTTATTATTCTCTAATGTAGGCTCTGTTAAAGCTTGCAACACTGCTATAAGAGAAAACTTTTGAACTTGAGGTTCGTTATTCTACTTAGTTGTTGAGGGAATGGTATTCAATGTCAAATGTCAAGAATATTTAACTAATTTGAGTGCAATGTCATGGAATGTGTATTTAAGTCTGCGGACAGTAGGATACTTCAGGAGCAACTTCAAATGAAGGTAGAATTTCTAAAGTTGCATTGTCTTATCCATGCTTTATTATTTTAGTCTTTGTATTATTAATAATCTTGAATTCTCTAAGTAGATATCAGAGAATGCTGAGATGCAAGAAATTATTCTTCTACTATGGCAACAGCTGAATAATAAAAGCTGCAGGAATCTAGAAGGAAGTGCAGATAATGATGCTACCCCTGAAAAAACTTGTTCCGAGGAATTTTTAGAGAACAATGATGGGAAGAATGGGATTGGTTCATGCGAAGAAACTTATAGTGATGATAATACACCAACTAGTGTCATGAGCTTGAATAGAGTATCTTCCCAGGAGGACTCCAAAGAGTGTGACAAATGTGCCTCTTTGAATTCCCAAGTTCTTATTCAGGTTATTCCTTTCTCTTTATTAATTCTGGCATCTTAAGCAATTTGAACTCAGTATGCTACTTCTGTTCAGTGCTTACTGAAGGGAAGCTTATTACTCTTCCATGAGGGGAACTGCTGATGTGGTCTACCTGTTTTTATTTCCTTAGGCTGCTGAGATAGAGGGCCTGAAGCAAGAGAAGGTGAAACTAACAGAAGAGAAGGATGGGCTTGAAATTCACAGTAACAAACTGGCAGAGGAAGCTTCATATGCAAAAGAGTTGGCGGCAGCGGCTGCAGTTGAACTTCGAAACTTGGCTGCAGAAGTAACCGGGCTCTCTTATGAAAATGCTAAACTGACTGGTGAACTGGCCGCTGCAACTGTTGTCAGAGGACTGCACTTGATTTTAGACAAAATAACATGAGTGGTGCTTGGCCTGAGGTACGTCACAGGAAACAAGATGATGGAATTCTTATCGAGGAGTTGCAGCAAGAATTTAACATGAGAAACCAGAGGGAAGCTGCCCTGAAAGCTGCACTATCTGGGATAGAACAAATAGAAGGTGATCTGCGGAGAAGAATTAATGAAGCAAAGAGGCATGAGGAAGATCTTGAAAATGAGCTTGCAAACATGTGGATGCTAGTGGCAAAGATGAGAAAACCTGGTATTAATGCTGAGGACATATCATCAAATATTTCACAAACAGCCACAAGAAATGGGCCTTTGCTATCCAATGGTCACTCATTTAAATTATTAAAAGAGGATGAAACCTGTGGAAATTTACATGGGATGAAAACATATGAAAAGTTAAGAGCTTGCCATCAGGAAGAAAGGAGAAGATGTGCAGAACTAGAAAGGCTTGTTTCCAGAATGAAGGTATGCTGTTTGTTGATTATGTTTTGAAGAAATAGGAACTCATATGTTTCTTTTTGTGTACCAGTTTATAGTTGTTTCTTCAGCTATGGATTTATCTTCTGCCGGCCGATTGGCTTCTATTAAATGTTTCACTTTTCAGCCCTAATACAAGTATAAATTAGTGTTCATATTATCATTGGGATGTAAGACTTTTCCAAACCAGTGGGGATAAGGTATGTAATGGTTCTTATGGAAATTTATTCTGGCATAGTATGAATGTGTTAAATGCGTCAACAAATCAATTGGGAACAGGTGGATGGATCAAACCTCAAACCCAGCACTTAACTGCTGTGGATAACACCACTTAAACACTCTTAACTCATGTATAAGCCCAATTCTATCAACTGAAGTGAATGGGGGAAAAAGTCAGCTTTTGGTATTATATTAAGCATTCAACCTACCTCAAACTTAATTGATATAGGGTAGGATAGCACACTTGGAGTCTTTTACACTTATATTTCTTGTGTCCTTTTTGCTCTTCCTTGCTCTTTTCCTCAATTAATGGATTAGCAATTTTATCAAATTGTTGATGCTCTAGTTTCAGCTGTGTAACCATGATTTTGGTCTAAAAATTAATTCGCCAGCAAATGCCAGCTTCCAGATTTCATGTGATCTTCTGCATCTTAGGACCATCTTTTCATTTTTCTGAAGTTTAATATGTCTCTACCTATGAAGCCTGTTAGTCAAGCTGACCATTGTGCTGCAGCTTTGTTTGTGTATTTTGTGGTATACCTATCCTAATATGGTGTGAGTTATTCGAGTGTCAGCTATGTAATTTTATTTGATTGTTACTTTTCTTAAGTTGGTTATGATATGTGTGTGTGTATTTGTAGATGTTCAAGTCCCATCCAAACCTATGATTAAAAGATTGTGTTAGAACTTAGAAAAGTTTAAAATTTAAACTGATCAGCTATCTCTTACAGGGTGAAGTTATCAGTGGTTTGAGTGTTACAACTCTTGAAGAATTGCAGAATTTTCTTGTTGAGGCTATAACAAAGATTTGTCATGCTAAGGTTATTTCTCTTAATACACTTTCTAAAAATTGCATCGTTTGTATGTTCCTTAGTTTAACTTCTTTCATTTAACACCTAACTTAGATAGTCGCCTAGTCCCTGATCAGCAGTTATACAAAGGTCAGTTGTGTGATGATTTGAATGTTAACATTTAGCAGAATAATTATTGTCATGAGTATTTCATCCAATGGCATTTTTAATGCCTAATATTGGTGTTAACAATAAGCAATTTAATCTTTTAGGGAGCTATGTAGAGGATGTAAAAGTTTGCAGTATCCTGTATCACATATTTTGTGGTTCTATAGTATTTCCTTTTCTTTTCCTAATTTTGGTTCTTTTAACTTTGCAGTGTGCAAATTATATGTAGTATGCAGAGTTTAACCATTCATTGAGGATCTTGCTTAACGGTTTTTCTGACCATCAAGGTCAGTATAGTCAGTATAGATCCATTTCTTTTTCCTTTATTAGGCAAATGTGATATAACTTTTGTTGACCACTTTGTACTTTATAAAAGAGGAGAGAAAAGAAAAGAGGTGGCATCCAACAGGTCTATGGCTCAAATCACAACACCTGTACCCCTTCCTCTGTTTTCCAGCTGTTGCCTTCTTTGTACCAAAAAAAGAAAAGAGACAAATATCAGGAGCAAACTGTGCAGATGAACTAAACTAAATTGAGCCCTTATATCATGAACAATTCATAAGTCAAATACAACATATCCTTTCTCATTATTTTTCTAGAATGTTTGTAAAGGCGCGGAGCCGCTGACCAGACCTGAGCTAGTAAGCCTACACCATCCTCTCCGGCTCCAGGCTTCTTGAATCTGTACTTTTATTTGTCTCTGTATATTCTCGTGTTTTATAGCAAATCTGATTGATTGACTAGGCAGGCGTGACGCATTATGTAAATAATGGAATTATTAACCAAATTGATTCATTTCTGAGACAGCCTCTTCGATAATAATTCTTTGGCAAGGTAACAACCACGGAGACGCATCCATGGAGGTGCACCTTTTCCATACTGGAAATTCGTTTATCTAACTTGCATTAGAAATTCCAGAGTATATCAAGGTTTCTAGCGATATATGTGAATTTCTTCTGCGACAAAAGTTAGTATTACCTTTTGTATTTGGGATAATACCCATTTACATTTTATACCTTATAGGTTACAAAAATAGAGAATAGTTCTAATGTACCTTTACTACCAAACAAAAGTATGTGTTTGCTGCATATGATATTATGAAATCGTTTTGACCTATAGATGTTATGAAATCGTTTTGACGTATCTTTTACTAATATCTTTTTCTTCTTTCTGTTTCAGAGCTCTCTGTCGCGAACCCGAATGTTGCTCTTGCTGGAAGCTTGTTTTGCAGGATAATTCTCTTCAAGGATACCAAAATTGGCTGCATATGGTCTAAAATGTTCATCATAATTGCTGTCCCAACTGTTAATAAACAGGGCAAAAAAAAAAAAAAAGGGTAAGAAAATGCTAAACGCAGTTACAAAGAAGAGAAGTGCGTGCTAAGGGAATGAAAGTGTTCAGGACTTGGGAAGCCTGTCACAATTTGCAGATGCCCAGCCAATCTGCTGCTTCTCATTGTCATAAATCACCATTTTGTCTAGCAATGAGATGTCTGAGGAGAAAAGAAAAAAAATGAATCAGGAACCCAAAAAATGAGTAAAACCGTGGAACCCTTATTTCTTCTCTATTATTGCTCACCTCCAATTATGTTTGAGTCTTCCAATCCTGCTTCTGTGCCATTCAAGATTCCTAAGCATGCATTTCCATGTTCCTGGATGGAAGCTCATGTTAGATGTGTCGATGCACCTGTGCTCGCTTGTATCATATTGCTGGAAAATCGTGGATTAGTTGGTGCTCACCGTGACAATAAGATATGCTTCAGGCTGTAATTGTAGCTGAATATTCCCGGTGTTTGTAAAGCTCAGTGTCAAGCTGCTGAAATAGTTCCTGACATCATGAACTGATTTGAAAGGTTTCTTGCCTTTCCAGCAGACTGGGAGAGCTTTATCTTGCACCGAATTCAATGGCTTCCTGTTTAAGCCTCGGCTTACCTGAAAGATTTAGTAAGCGATCACTTCCCTGAGCAAAGCTTAAAGATTACTCTAAAAGGGGGAATAGTTAAGTCTCGCTCATTTTCTTACCAGATCAAGTAGAGCTTTATAAACTCGGGAGCAGAAGTAAGTGTAGGAACTCCCACTGTCAAATACTACTTTAAGGTCCTTTATACCAGTAGGCTTTCCACCGAAAAGGAGTTCTGCTGGACTCGACAAATAATGTTTACTGAAATACAATAATCAAGGAGGCAGAGAAGAAACGTTAATGGTAAGATAGAGTTGCTACAGAAGAAAAAGGCAGAAATTAACATTGCTTACGATTCGGCTGACACTGGCAACCAAGCAATTCCTGAAGGGACAAGATCATCTCCTAGGAACAAAAATCCTCCACCTTTCCCACTTAAACAATGGCCCAATACATTTCTTGTGAGACCAAAGCTTTGCAGCTGTGACAAGATGCTTGCTTTGCCATTGCCAAGCCCGACGACTCCAGCTGTTGAAGGAGGAGGGTATGGACCAGGGTTTTGCAGATTATAAGCACATCTGTGATTTTGAAGCCATTTCAACGGATTCAATAATAGAATCAAAACCATTGCTAAAACTGAATAGAGAGCAAAATACCCACCCAAAAGTCAGAAGGGGACGAATAAGAGAGCCATTCATAAGTCTAAGGGAAAAGAAGTCATTGACCACCACACCCATAACTGAACCATGATCGACATAGTCGACCTCGAAGTCACATTGGTCATCCGGTTTCTCACATCGAGGACTTTCAGGAAAGTGAACAGCACCACAGGATGGATGATTACAGGGCACAAGAATGTTTTTGTCGGGCTTGTAAAGTTGATCGACGGGCTACAAAAAGACAGACACGACAAGATATAATCAAGTGATAGGAATCAACATCGACCGACAAATTTACCTTGGTGCAACCGGTGCAAGGTGCATCACATTGGACCCAAGTGATGTCACTGCCTGTATCAATATCAAACTCAAAAACCTTAGGCGGTTGGCCTATGGCAAGCCATATAGAGTAGTATCTGCAAAAAGTAGGAATTCCATGATTTCAATCATTGGAGAGAAGGGCAAAACGACAGTACTAAAGATTTTAGAGAGAAACAGAACCAACACCCCCATGGACCCTGACTGGTTTTACCAACAGTCTGATTGAAGAAATCAAATTTTCCAAAGAAGAAACAATTCAAGAATTCTTCCAAAATGTTATACACTGTCGAAAACAAGAACAATAAATGACCAAATTAAAAAGATGAGAATATTTCAAAGTAAATGAGAGCTTACCCAAGAGGATAAACATTCCCAGTGACAGGAAAAAGAACAGATGAACCAAACCCACTAGCTGCCTTGGGATGGGTTGACTTTTTCTTGTTGGGTCGCTGACTGGCAGCTTGGGAACACCCTGAAAAATTTCCAGAAAATAGAAGAATGAACATCATCATCATAATCCATGGCACTGTTGCTTTCCTTTTCTTTACATCCATCTTGTTTTGCCAAGCAAATCTTTTTAAAAATAGACAGAAAGTTGGATTCTTGGGAATCAAAGAAGCTAAAAAGGTGAACTTGTCTTGCTTGGATGAAAAAGGGGGAGTCCTGTGAAAGAAAAGATTTAGGAGGCAGGAAATAGAAAGAAGTTCTGGTCTCCGTACGTCAAATTATAGACAGGAGTTTGCAACTTCGTGTAGCATCCACTTGTTTTTTTACTAATAAAACATTTTTATTTTAGACAGACAAAACGATTTTTGGAACTCTGTAAAAAAAACTTAAAAAATTTTAGTATTTATCAAATATTAAAAATCGGTATTTATTTTTTTAATTTATCAAACAAATTAGCTTCTATAAATTAATTTAATTTTTTTCAGTAATGAAATTAAACCGGTTATCAATTTGATCCCAAGTGGACAGATTTTAGGGACAAATTAATCAGATAGATATTTTAGATGAAAGCTTTTGATTTTTCTTTAGGATGGAAATATATAGTCGAAATTGTCCCTTAATATTTAATATGGATGTGGAATTGGGAAGGGCATAGTTGTCTTTTGAAGATGGGTTCTTCGCGTCTGTCCGACTTTTGGGTAACAAGAACAAGAGTAAATATGTGGGTATTAGTAAGATCGGAGAGAAAAGAAATGGCGGCTCCACAGCTTTCATCTTTTTCTTTTTCATTTTCCTATGAGAAATTTTTTCATTGTCTATTTTAATAAAAGAATCTCAACCTTTTTTTAGTGGTACAAAGTTTTTGAAACATTTTTTAGATTCGTTCAATATTTTTTTAAAACTAATTTAAATAAATTCATACAAAATTATTTCTTTATATTTTTCTCATAAACTCCCAAAAAAAAAATTGCAAACTTCCTTTATTAGAGATGTCGACAGATTAGAGAAAAATAAAATATTTTTTATCTTTATTTTTAAATTTTTATATTATATTTATTGTTATAATTATATATAATAAATATTTTAAATTTATTTTTATCTTTATCTTGTGCATATTTAATAGATACGAATAATTCTAATATCTATAATCATTTTAAAAAATAAAAATAAAATTTTATTTTTAAAATTTTTTTATTTTTAATTTATATATTTAGATAATTTTTTATAAAAATATATTAATATGTTTTTAATAAAAATATATTAATTTTAATTAATTTATAACAATAATTTATATTATTTAATAAAAAACTATTTATTAATTATATACATAATATATAAGTACAAAACAGATATTATATTTTTTATTTTTATATTTATATCTAATAAAATTTTAAATTTATATTTATATTCATACCCACGATATTATATTATTTTATTTTTATTTTTATTCAAATAAAATATTAAATTCATCACTAAATATGGATAAAATTTACATCTTTAACCTTATAAAGGGTCATTCATTGAATTTCCATGTGACAGAAAAATCAAGGAGAGTAATCAATGGAAATAGTCGCAAAAGAAAGTTGATAGAAAACTCTTGTTTTCAAGAAAATTTTTTGACGGTGGCAAGGATGTCTCCTGCAACCAAAAAAATATAGATAAAAGTAACGATGGGTCATTGTGTTTAAATTAAAATGATTGACATGTTTACTTTCAAATATTATGCTCCATATATTGTTTCTAGCTGAAAAGAAGAGAGAGATAAGGCCAGAGCCATTTGTTCCGAACATCTGGTTTATATTTATTGGACAGTTTCCAGCAAAGCTGTAGCTTAATATTTTGATTGCCTTTGAGGTGACCCACAGTGAAGGAATTAGGAAAGTTAATCCGAATCAGTGCAGACAGCTTATCGAGTCATTTTGCATTCACTCCCCTTTTTCTCAAGGGTGTTATAACTGATAGATCATTGCATTAAGATCATGTTAGGCCTCTGAAATATCAATATCTATTACTGAAAGAAAAAGTAATATACCAATGCATGTTGAATTCAGTGATAAAAAATTTAATTTTTTTTAACAAAATTTTAATTTCGAATCTTATGAATAAAAAAATAAATTTAAAAAAATTTATCTCTTATAAGATTTGATCTAACTCATTTCAAATTAATCGATACTTGAAATAATTATTAAACATTGAAAAATTTCAAACAAAAAAAAAATAATATGACGATTTTTGAATTACAATAAAATATTTAATATAATATTTAAATTTTAAAATTTTTTAATATAATACTTAAATTATAAATATATTAATTAATATAATTTAAACTATTTATCTATTATATGTTATCATTTAAATCTAATCATATTGTGATTATTACATTAATTAATAAATTTATAATTCATATATTATATTAAAATTTTTAAAATTTAAGTATTATATTAATTATTTTAATATAATTCAAAAACTATTCGTAGTATTAAAAAAAAAAACATTTTAGTTACTACATTCCACGAGATTTTCACTTTGTACCGTGAAGGATGCATGTTTTTATGGATATGGAAATTTCTAAAGCTAACTTTGCTGCATAAAACATATCAAAAGACATTGTGAATGTCTTCTGTAAAGCCATTTGTATTGCCACTATAACTAAACAAACTGACGAAACAAGGGAATGAGGCCTCTATAAGTAAACAAAAAGAACGAAGCTACGTTCAGCCTTTTTATTTAATTTTACATAGAAGTTATTCAAAATCCGCTAAGCTGGCAAGTACAATCTGCAACAGCCCATCCAATCCTCAGATTCTCATTATCATATATCACCAGTTTGTCTTGCAATGAAATGTCTGGACAGCAAACAAGAAGGCACAGTTAGGTTCCAGGTAAGGGGGAACAAATCTACTAAAACGCTCTTACCTCCAATCACATTGCTACTTCCTAGTCCTACTTCAGTGCCATTCAAAATTCCAAGGCAAACATTTCCTTGTTCCTGAGAATGATGAGCTTGTTACATTGCATTCTCTAATTGCTTCTATCTATTATCTTACTTCCTATAATTGCACTTTGTTTTTATTCTTTGTACAAGGTTTCAGAGGTACTCACAGTGACAATGAGATATGCTTCGGGTGGTAATTGTAGCTGAATGTCTCTTGCCCCTGTAAACCTCAGCGAAAAGGTGTTGAAATAGTGCCTAACATCTTGCACAGATTCGAAAGGTCTAGTGCCTTTCCAGCAGATTGGGAGAGCTTTATCTTTCACAACTTGCAGTTTTCCACTGAGATCTTTCCTTACCTGAAAAACAAAGCGAGCAATCAATTCTGGTAATGTTTTCGCAATCATAAGGTATCGTGCATTGATGTTTGTTTATGTCTCACCCGATCAAGCACAGTTTGGTAAACTTTTGAGGTCAAGTAAGTGTAGGTGGATCCAGTATCAAATATAACATTAAGGTCATTTACACCAGTAGGCTTCCCACGGAAAAGAAGTTCTGCTGGACCTGAAGAATAATGTTTACTGAAATGAAATCAACAAAGAAAAAAAAACATTTGTTAGAGGCAACTGGAATCATTAAAGAAGTAAATAGAAGTTATTGATTGTGCTTACTCAGAGGAATTTTGCAATGTCCAAGTCATTCGTGATTCAGGGACAAAATCTGCTCCAAGGAACAAAAACCCTCCTTGTCCACTGAGACAATGGCCTACCACATTTTGTGTTAAACCTAAGCCACTCAATTGTGATGATATGCTTGCTTTACTTTTGCCAAGTCCGAGGACTCCGGCAGTGGTCGGAGGAGGGTGTGGACCGCCATTTTGCAGACGATTTGCACACCTGCAGGTGTGGAAAAACATAACACCATTAGTTATCATGGCAGTGAATGTATCAAATAAACACGATACACAAACTTTACAACTTTCAACATTTTCAAAATTGACAAAATTCTGAGTTATTCACATGGTTGAAAACACTTCCAAAATTCAAAGGTTGTAAATTGAGATGAAGAGTTGGAAATACCCACCCAAAGGCCAAAAGGGGATTAAGACCGGAGCCATTGACAAGGAGTAGGGGAAAGTAGTCTGAGACTACGAAACCAAGAACTGAGCCATGATCAGCATAATCAACTTGAAAGCTACATTTTTCATTAGGGTTCTCGCAATGATGTGATTTTGGAGAGTGAAGTGCAGCACATATGGGGTCCTTGCAAGCCAGAAAGTTTTTCTTAGCCGGCTTGTAAAGACGGTCAGGAGGCTGCACAAATGAAGATAAAGGCATCATAAGAATCTAGCAGAGTTTTTTTTTTTTTTTTTCCCAACAAATCATTATAATGCTAAGATCACATATGAGTAAGAAATTTTACCAGAGTGCAACCAGTACAAGGAGCATCACATTGGACCCAAGTGAGGTCACTGCCAGTATCAATATCCAGCTCAAAAGGCTTAGGTGGGTTGCCAATTCTAAGTGTCACAGAATAGTACCTGATGATTGACAGAAAGTCAAATTATGATGAACAATCAAATAGCAAAACAACTACAAACCCAAGAAATTTATTACTAAAAAGAGGAGATGCGGAAATTTTGGGGGAAAAGAGAAAAAATTGACAATAAATTTAAAAAAAAAAAAAAGCAGTACCCAAGAGGATAGACATTGCCAGAAACAGGAAGAAAAACAGAGGAGCCAAAAGCATTAACAGCCGTTGGATGGACAGCACTTCTCTTCCTAAGTTGACCTTGACCGGGTGCTGTAAAACAGCCATGTAAGGATGCAGACAGAACCTGGGAGATCAACACCATGATCATCAATGCTACTATTCTTCCTTTCATTTTGTGATCAACCATCTCTGCCTTGGATTAAAAAAAAAACCCAAAAAGAATAAAAAGAAACCTATTGCAAAAAACGAAAAGAACAGATTTTTTGAAATCAGAGGCCAAAAGGGCACTTAAAATACCATTTCTTTTACGATGAAAAAGAAGAAGAAAAAAAGAAAAGCCTTCGATAACTTCGTCACGAACAGGGTGACTTCTCGGCTGTCACTGACCACCCGTTGCTATATTTATCGGCGCGCTCTTTTCAATTTTTTTAATTTTAATTGTTAAAAAGCTTTTCTTTTTTTTTTTTTTTGTTTTTATTAAAGATTGTCACATTGATGGTCTTTAACTTGGCGACTAAGGAACTTAGGAGAAGACTTTGAGTGTTGCATGTTGACTCGATTGATTTAGTGTTTTATGATTTGAGATGTACTTTCGGATTAATTATTGATGAAAATTAAATTAAGTGTAATTATTAATGTAGAATCAATGAATTGTATTAGCATAATTTTAGCATAAAGGAGTAGTTATAATATTAATGATTATGTATTTGTTCTTGCAAAGCTACCTAATATGTTTTAGCATTATGTCCTTTTTGACCATTCAATCTTACCATACATTTCCTTTAGGATAGGATCAGTCAGAACCAAAAAAAGACTAATAGCCACAATTTATTTCTAACTATATATGATACAGTATCAATGAAATCTACTTTACATTCTAAATTTAAAAGTGAATCCCAATAGGAAAGTCTCATTTTTAAGTATTTGATTTAAAACTCAAATAGTGTATTGAAGGTAGTTTTTTTTTTTTTTTTAATTTGAAAGAAAAATATTTCATATGATGCTCATCAAATGAAATATTAAAATGCTTTCAAATCTAATTTGGTCATCTTTAAAAAATAAAATTTTAGATATGTTATTTTTAGTTCTTTATGTTTATTTGACTATATCACTAAAGCATAAACTATAAAAAAAAAAAAATCGAGATGAATATAAAATATAAACTTTCAAAAATTTAATTTAATTTATTTATTTAAATATGCATTTAAAAAATTTTAATTCAAATTTTAATATCTATAATTTTTTTTTTTACATATAAAAAAAATTTATAGGCTTCCTATCTCTTGGTAAAGGCATGTACTAATAAAAGAAACGAAAAAACACCCCATATAATATTCGGCTAATTAACCATGCAATTTCTGGTGAATATGGTAACTCTATGTCATCCCATCAGCCCTTTCTTTCTCATGGTAGATCATCTGAACCAAGAATGTGCCTCCATTTCTAACCAAAACAAGATTTCAGCCTTCAGGACCTTACCAAACTGTACACATCTTCATTTACATTCCATTCATGGCGTTGTCACAAGAAACCATCCTCAGACGAAGCTCATTTCGAACCCCAAACCATCGAGGAACCTTTCCAGGTATTATCTATATTACCTTCATGCACGCAAACAATAATCTGAAATATTTCGGAATTGTCTTAAAGGATTGATGGAGTTCGAACATTAAACTTTTTTATTCTTTGAATCCAAACTTGGGTTGTAAACGTGAGAGAATTTTCATTTCTAGAGCCCTGGAAACGAGGATAAAGATAAAGGAGACGAGTATGGCGTTCGCAGCTATATGTATAATGGAGATGGATTGCGAGGGAATAGTCCTACGAGTTCTAAAGGTTGTTTCAAGCATCGAACCATGGACACTTTCTTTTCTTCCATCCCTTCTTCTATCTCAGGAACTGCCAGCAACAGGAGCCCCAGCCCCAGCCCAAGACCTTCCTTTGTATGGAAGCCTGGTAAGCACAGACAGAAATTGATTCCTGAAACCCTGTCAAGAAGCTCAAGCCGCAGGAACGGCTATCCAATCATGTTTTCAAACTCAGCTGCGATTGTAAAACCTCCACCAATAGAGAGGCAACTCGAATGCACGCTTGAAGAGTTATGATATGGATGTATGAAGAAGATTAAGATTACAGGAGATGTTCTTTCAGAATCTGGGTTCGAAATCTTAAACATTCTCTTGATGTTGTCTGTGATTCGAGATTGCAATGTCTGCTAAAAGCTGAAAGGGCACCACTACTTCAATGTTTAATGATGTTTTTATGTTCTTATATTGGCAGACAAATAGTACAATTGAAGCCAGGATGGAAGAAAGGAACAAAGATACATTTGAGGGAATGGGAAATGAGAGACCAGGATATTATGCAGCTGATGTAACTTTTGTGATTGCTGAAAAACGGCATGATTTGTTTAGAAGAGAAGGTGATGGTGCTTGCAATAGAAATTCCTCTAGTAAAAGCTCTGACTGGTTGCATCCTTCCCATCCCTTTATTGGGTGGGGAGAATATGAAATCATTCACCCTGGCTATCAAAGGATAATCAGGGGCCAGGTTATGCCAAACACAAAAGAACAAGGAAGCAGAGGAAAGTTGAAGGTATTATTCCTTATTAACTTTCCAACAGAGCTCACAGATGAATGACGAGCTGCTGCGGTTAGTGTTTTAGGGGATTCTTGTTGATGAAGTTGATGAATGTGCTTCGTTTCTTTAGGAGTCTAGAATTTGTTTTCATCATTCAGGCAGTGACACTTCAAAGAATGTCCTGTATTAGGCAATTATAAGTCTGGTTAAACACATGTAAGGGTGATGTTTCAAACAGGAACAGAGCATATTTGATCTACACTTTTAAATGTTAAGCATCCGACTTATAATTAATTGACAGTAAATCGAGAGAATCAACTTAAATATAATGTTACAAAAAATTGAAAATTTATCAAATATAAGATAATTCACTTTAATAAGCTTCTATCACTTATAGACAAAAATGAAAAAAACCTTTCACATGACAATTAGGAAAAGACAACAAAATGAAAGTTCTAACTCTGATTCTATGTTAAGCATTCAATTTAAAATCAATTGGATTAACCCACATCTAATAAATTTTCAATATATCATAGTCTTATATTTAGATCAAACCCCATCACTTTGAGACAAAAATGGAAAAAACCTTTCATGTGACAAATTAAAAAAGAATAATGAAAAAAAATCTTAACTTTGATACCATGTTAAGCATCCAACTTAAAATCAAATGTTATTAGATGTGAAATAACTCACTTTAACATGCAATAAAAAGAAAATAATAAGGCTACAGGAATTGGAAATTTATTCTTCCACATGATAAATGAGGAAAAGGCAACAAAAAGAAAATATAAGGCTATAGGAAGCGAAGATGGAAGAAGCCTTACACGTGATACAGAAAACTAAAAATTTATTAGATATGAAATAACTCGTAATTTATTAGATATGAGATAACTCGTTTTAACATGTAACAAAAAGAAAATAATAAAACTACAAGAAATTAAAAATTTATTCTTCCACGTGATAATTAGGAAAGAGCAACAGAAAAAATATATATAAAGCTACAAAAAATTAAAAATTTATTAGATATGAGATAACTCACTTTAACATGCAACTTAGGAAAGGGCAACAGTAAGAAAATATAAGGCTACAAGAAATTAAAAATTTATTAGACGTGAGATCACTCATTTTAATATGTAACAGAAAGAAAATATAAGACTACAAAAAATTAAAATTTATTAAATGTAAGATAACTCAATTTAACTCACTTTAATAGGCTCTCATCACATGTAGGTGAAGATAAAAAAAACTTTTCACATGACAAATAAGAAAAGGCAACGAAAAGAAAATATAAGGCTATAGGAAATTGAAAATTTATTAGATGCTCAAACTGAATGTAAAACTACATGTATTGAAAATTTATTACATGTAATATAAACCACTTTAACAAACTCTCATCACATGTAAGTGAAGATAATAAAAACCTTGTACGTGACAAATTAAGAAAGGGGAACAAAAAAAAATCCCGACTTGTGATACCCAAAAAAAATATCAAGCTATAGGAAATTGAAAATCTATTAAAGCTCAACCTGAATATAAGACTATAAGATATTGCAAATTTATTAGATATGAGATAACTCATTACAAATTTATTAAATATGGAATAACTAACTTTAACATACTCCTATCACAAATAAATGAAGATGAAAGAAAATTGATACCGAAAAGAAAATATAAGGTTACAAAAAATTGAAAATTTATTAAAACTCAACCTAAATATAAGACTACAAGATATTGTAAATTTATTAGATGTGGGATAACTCACTTTAATATGTTCCCATCATGTGTAAATAAAAATGAAAAAATACCTTTCACATGACAAATTAGAACATGACAATGGAAAGAAAATCTTAATTCTAATACTATGTTAAGCATTCAACTTAAAATCAATTGACAATAAGTGGAGGAGCCCAATTTCAATATAAGATTACACAAAATTAAAAATTTATCAAATGTAAAATAACTCACTTTACTAATAATATCAGCCTTAGGCAAGATTGCAGATAAAGTTCTGTCAAATGAACAGAGTTTTGAAATTTAACGCATCAGTGTCATCCGCTTCCTGTAAAACTATTCCTGATGTAACTATGTTCCTACAAGTCTGAGATCTGCAAAGTGCAAACAATCATTGATAATAAACAATACATTCTTGACATCACATAGATTTATACATATCATAATCGCTGATATATATTTTCCATTGTCTTGTATACAATCAACATTGGTCAAATTGAATTAATGCTTAAAAAATACCGAAATGCGTGACTTACGACAAAGATAGCCGCACCCATTGCCGTTCATGCCTTAGACCATCCCAACAAAGCACGGATTATGCCTAATATGCTACCACCAAGAAGAGCCTGCAACAATCTTAGCTTTCCACTCGTGTATGGTGGGTATCTCATAAATGCATCACAAGCAAAACCTCTATAAAGAACGGCCTTTTTATGGCTAAAAGCATCGAAGGAGAATTTCCCATGATACGCACCCATTCCACTGTCGCCGACTCCTCCAAATGGTAAAGTATGTTCAGCAAGCTGAAATAATATCAGTTGCGTATCACATATACAACTTCTCATATTCAATAAGAATGTGCAAATGTATTTATAAAAGTGCATATTTCGACAAGTAGGGACATACCATATCTTTTAACAGATTTCAACATTATTCAGTACACAAAAAGAAGTAATTAATAATGTCTAATAAAACTTCACTATTTCACCCTTTTTTTAGGAAAAAAAAAAAGGAAAATTGTCAACTCTTAACATCAAAATATACATAGTGAAGCAAACATGAATGATATCTCTACATAAGATATAGTCAACCATATCCAAAACCAACGTGCATAACTTCTGGGCTACCAAGAACAATGCTCAAGGGTATCAAAAGTAACAACCTTCCATGAATCAATGCTTTGCCCTACTGGTGATGATGGCCATTGACACGATTATAAGAGCAGTTCACAAAATCCAATCATTTGCCTATCATTAAATTAAAAATTGTCTACTAATAGCTTTAAAAGATAATTTTTTGCATCACCAAATTCATTCTAGAAATTCTTTTTGACCGAATAATTTCCCAAAAAGGTAGTTAAAATCTATTGTCACCAATGGCCTATAAGTTCCTATCGACATTCTTCAAGGATTCATATAATAATAACTATTATAAATTAAAATAAATTAATTATCAAACCTAATTTGACATTTACACATCTGCCACTCAAATGCTCTCTTTAGCCAAATTGAGGGTCATTTGTAACCTATCCATGGAGATTACCACCACTTTTGAAAGTACATATGTCTAAATCTAAATTGTAATAATGCATGCATGTCTATATTGATTCCATAAGTTAGAAGTATAATTACATGTACAGCAGTGTCATTGACGACCAAACCCCCTGCAGAGACAGTTGCAACAAATTTCTCTTTTAGCTTCTTGTTATTGGTAAACAGATATGCAGCTAGTGGCTTTGTTCCTGAAGAATTTATCACATCAAAGCTGTCTTCCACTTTATCAACCTGTTATAACCAACCACAACAAAGTCATGGTAAATGTCCCATATTCAAATCTCTATAACTGAAGTAGAAGAGTACCGAGCTAAATATTAATTTCAATTTCCAGATAGAATAAATAATTTGTGTTTGTTTCTGCCAGGCCATTTTTCATGCAGATCATTCATAAACCAAGCTGCTATATCATCAAGTAGATCCTCTCTGTTCATATGTAGAAGGAACTTTAACTTTTCCGTTGCAAACTTTCCAGAAAAATATTGCTTAGTACTTCATAAATTGCATTGCTACTACAGGTCAAGTCCTATGATTCATGTTCCATTTGAAGAAAAGCATATGCATTCTTTTCACTCGAGCAATTAAAGAAAGGCTTAAAACTATTTAAAATTTTCAAGGACTATGCTACACACAGAAACAACATAAACTTAAAAGAGAATTAAAAAAAAAAAATAGCAAAAAAATTCAGAGCAATTGACCCTTTTAGTTCCTACCAGGATAATTGGAAGCAGTGGACCAAATATCTCTTCATTCATGATTAGAGAATCTTGTGGGACATCAAGCAAGATAGTGGGAGCAATCTTCCTGCCATTAGATGAAAGAAATGCATATTAACAGTGTAAAATGCCTAGTGCACTTGAAAAGAGTAGAAGCAAACTCCTGGCTAGAACTCACAAGTTTGTTTTGTCTCTTTCACCTCCATGGACGATCTTAATAGAAACCTTGTCCTCATCCAAGAGCTTTAACAAGCGAGCAAAGTGGTTAGAATTCACTATGCGAGACAAATCTTTTGACTCCAATAGATTCTTTCCATAAAATCGCTCCAATTCACATTTGAAAGAATCTACCTGCAGGATGAAAAGCGCTTGAGAAGAATGATTGAAAAAAATGGATTACAAATGTTAACATATACAGGCAATCTTACCAGCTTCAGAGCAAAATCTTTTGTTGTAATAACGTAATCAGGAGAAATACATGCTTGTCCATTATTACATCCCCATTTGCCTGCAATTATCCGCCTAGTTGCAACCTGAAAATACACAAAAACATGTCGTAATGTGTCAGTATGTAAGTCACAAAGAAAGCAGACATGGTGGCAAACTAAACACTAAGCTTACCTGTAAATTGATGCCTGAATCAACAATGACTGGAGACTTTCCTCCAAGCTCCAAAAGAACTGGAGTTAAGTGCTTTGCAGCGGCCGCCATCACAATTCGTGCAATTCTTCCATTGCCTAAAATTCAAGGATGTTTTGATTAATAACACATTTTATCATAACTGAGATGACAATAGAAGTACTATAGCATGACAATGTCTAAAGCATCAATTAATAACCATACACTGAAAATGAGAACTTTTAGGAAAGCACCAACATTTTGCCACATGTTTTCATGTTTTTGAAAAATGAATGTAAGAAATAGTGGCATTGCATGTCTGAAAAGAGAATCCAAAAACAGCATATCAGCAGAGCATCCAATAAATATGCCAAAGCAAACCCCAGAAATATCCCCAAAAACTCTCTTTAGTTCTTTCCAGATTCCAAATGAGAAACTCTATACCAGCTGTACTTACATGTTCCAGTAAACTCTTGACTAGTTCAATTTCAATTCTCCATAACCAGCCTCAGGGGAACACGTTAGCTTCTGCCAACCAAGGGACCATAGAACTATCTTCTAAATATCCTATTAAGGATTTTTTTGTGTCTATCTAACCAACTCACCAAGGATGGGAAAACGTTCATGGTGAAGTGAGATTTCAATGAAAAGAGAACAACTCACTAAGCCCTAATGTTTTTTACTTCATAGTTTGAGGTCCCAAACCAGATAAAGGATCAGAGTCGCAGTTGGTTGGCCTGGCAGCCAGTGCAGAATTATAACCACTAACTATCACTGTAAATCCTATAGAGAGAAAAGATTGCCACCTACAAACAGTGTTTATACTTTATAAGATAAGTCATTGAAAAAAATATTGGGCCATACACCGCCCAAAAATGAAGAATACCTGATTTTGCATCTAAAATAGATCGAAGCTACAAAGAAACATCTAAACTAAATGCTAAAAGGGAAATCCTGTTAAATCATCCGTTGTCACCATCTGGCTCTTCACTACAATGGATAGAGTCTCAAAACAACACAATCCACACAGCAGACATATAAGACTTCAAATCCTATCCTTCACCCAATTGTTTGATAACAAGAAATAGAAAGCTACATCATTCAACACCAACTTTGGTTACAAACTTCTTGATTCATGGTACACATATGAAACTAAAATGCAGTTGTCCAAGTGTACATTAATTAAGATATAAAAGATTGAGCTAGAGGAGAAGATAAATGGATGATAACTGAGCAGGGACCTGTATAAAATATTTTGTCCCACTTTTGCTCCAGTAATGCTGATGTTTCAGGAACAGCCCCTTCAACAACCTTTATGCAAGAGCTATCCAAATAATTGGATACCAGTTTTGCAAGCAATGATGCTGTTGCTGGAGCAATTTCTGATGGCTTTAAGACTATAGCATTACCAGCTGCAATAGCTCCAACAACTGGATCAAGAGACAACACTGAAAGAAGAGATACAATTATAGTCATCATTCTAACAATTTTAGGAATTAAAAATAAGAAAAAGAAAAAGACAGAAAGATGTGACTTTGAACAAGTCCATCAGGAGGTTTAACATACAAAAAGGATAATTCCATGCTGAGATTACTAACACAACACCAAATGGTTCAGAAACAATTTCAGCAGAGGAAGGAAATGTAGTCAATGAAGTTTTTGCCTGCGAAAAAGGCACGTTAATCATGTTCAACTCTTTTAATGTCAAGAAGAAACCTTAATGAAAGCTTCCACCCAGTTGAGAGGCATCCAAAAAATTTACCTTTTCTGGCATCATCCAATGCTTCATTTCCTTGAGTGCCAATCTGCAGGAGTTCTTTAACATTGCTATCTGCAGAGTAAACCATGTCAACATCAAAAGATAAACAACAACATATTTCATGTGGGACTTCCATAGAAAAGAATAGCACACTCAGGATGCTAAATATAAATAACTCAAATATTGTTGCCTTCTCCATAGTTCTAGTTTTCTAAATTGTGAGACATATAGAGTTTAACTATTAGGTGTAGTATGAAAAATAAAATTAAAACAAAGATATCAACTATCAAGAATTACACAAATTTAACAAGAGAAAGACATCTTCATATAAAATTGTCCTGGTGACAAAAAATTAATTGCTCCTGAAAAAAAGTCATCCAATACATTATTTTCCCTGGGTTAGAAAGCCTAAGATAACTACCTGAAAGTTCCTTAAAGCACTTTATCTTCAGCAAAAAATTGACACTACCACCAAGAATAATTACTTAGGAAATTTTGCTTACTGTTTAATGTTCATTAGCTATTAAATCTAATCAGCTTAACACAGAAGGTTGACTTACATGATGCATATAACTAGTTTAAGGTAAACCAAATCAACCTCCACAATTAAACCCAGAAACTGAAAATGTATAATTTAAGCATTTGGCTCAAATACTGTTGCTTTCAAACATGTAGCAGACAATTATGACTATAAACAGATGATAATTGTTGAAACAACTCCTTAAGTATTCATGAAAATTGAGATAATCAATGTTTATCTAGCTTTAAAATTGCCTATTATTCAGTGATTCCTACATTAATCAATCACAATTACAATTATCCTCACAGCTGACTGTCTTTAATAGCTGAAGCTCCATTAATCAAATTATAACTACTCAAAATAACAGCAGATAGCAAGACGTCTCTTTCTTTCTTTTTTCTCCTCTTTTTTCTAATTTATATCCAACTACTGACATACATGCCTACACTCAAATTCAAACACTACTTATTATTCTTAATCCTGATCTCTACTAAATAAAGGTAAACTCAGGAACTATCCACCCCAAAGCCCAAATTTGTTCCAAATGATTAATAGTTTTGAAGAATCTTAACTGATAAAAGAACATTAACAGTCAATATAAAAGCTGAACAAAAAGTATGTATCAAAAATGGAAAGATTTCTTACATTACATCCTGCTCCTTTCAGTAGAGATTTTAACAACGTGTGCAACTTGGATTAGAAATAAATATTCAAGTACTTGAGTTCTAGTAGTTTCAAGCACTGTATAGCTATAGCTAGCAATTCTTTACTAAAGTCTGAAAAATGAACAACCATTTTAATGAAAAAGCAAACTCTTAGCATGTCATAAATACTACTTGTGTCCACCAAGATTTCAAGCCTGTCACTAATATAAACACTTTTAAAAACTTTGCACACCAAGAAAAATAAAAAACAATAAGTGGACCACTCTAATTCCCAAAACTTCCCAACCTCTTTCTTCATGAATTTCATGATTCTCGACTTGATGCTCGACAGAAACAAGGTCTCACACAAAATCAATACAATTAATACAAATATATATAATTAAATAAACCCCAAAAAGGATAAATTAATGAAGATAGACAGCACCAATGCAAAATATATATATATAGAAAAAATAAAATAAAATAGAATCAGCTTTAGAGACAAAGAAATAGTTGAAGTTCTTTATCAGTAACCAAATATGAACCATCAAATCCTTTATGAATATTCTGATTTGGAAACGGCTCGAGTATTAATAACAAATTAAAAATAAAATAAAATCTAAATTCATTAAATAACTAAGGACACAGTCAATTTTATTATTATTATAATTGGCTGCGAAACAAGAATCATTAATAGCTGACTTAGTGGCGGCTATTGACTCGATACTGATACTATGATTCAATTCATGAAATAACTTCACTGAGTTGTACATCTCGTCGCTGGCCGGAAAAAAAAATTAATACTTCTTATCCATTTTTAAATTTACTAAAATAGAAAAACCTAATCCGAAATCAAATTAAAAAAAAAAAAAAACCATTGAAAAAAATTCAAATTAGAGAAAAACTTTAACCTCATAGATGGAGGATTCGAGTTCCGGCTTGGAAAGATCATCGCGAAGAGCGGCGACGATTTGCGGCTCGTTCTCTTCCATCATCTTCAACATCGCTTTCAACTGAGTCCTGCGCCATTCATAGCTTTTAGTCTTTCCGGCTACGAAGCTAGCTCTCAACTCCTTAACCAGCTCCTTCGCCGACTCCGAATCGAAAACCTCCTTCTCCTTCATTTCGCTCGCCATTATAATCCAAAATCAACTCTCAAAGTAAAATAATCAATTTAATTAGATTCAAACTTTGAAACTTAAAGAAGAACCGAGAACAAAAAAAAGTGAGGATTGAATTGATTGGACTGTAGTTTTGTATTCAATTTGCTTAAGGAACACCCCGGCGTCGATAATGATAATGTCGTATGTCACTTTCTCGTGTGAACGTTGAAAGCGACCAAATCGCGTGTCTATATGCAAAGCGGAAGAGTAGTGACTCGCTCCGGATCTCTGGCATTTTTGATCACCTGATTTCTAGAATCATAACAGTAGGTGTTTCTCACGCGAAGTAAAGGGCGCTTGTGGGGTGGATGTTTTCATGCGGTTCTTGGCTTCTTGCTGGCTTGGAAAAAATCGGTGGGAAGTTGCCAAATTGGAAGCAGGTTTTGTCAAACTGAAAGATTCCGCTTTCGTCTGACTTCGAAAATTCCACAGCATGATACAAAAGTGGAAAAGTTGATTGATTATTGAAATTTTAAATTTTTATAATTTTAAATATAAAAAATATAAAATTTATTTTGTAATGATTAATACATTATTTAATTTAAATATAATAATTTGTGTGATTGATGTCTTGTGCAGACATTTAATTTATTAATAATGCCTTGCACGTATCTCAAAGAATCAAATTCAATTTTTTATTTCCAAATTAATAAAAAAAAGAGGTAACGAGCACGTTTCTGACTTAAGAAGATCCCACAACATTATCAAAATTATGTCATTGATAAGTAAAATTTTTAGATTATATAAATAAAATTAATAGAATAATATATATTTTTAAATATATTAAATTTTTTAATTATATAAAAAATAAAATATGTGATAATTTTTAATTTTATTTGTAAAATTAAAATATTTCATTACTAGTGTATAAAAATGAACTCTTGTAATAATATTAAAAAATCTAATTAAATTGGTGTAAGGAGATAAATGACATCAATTCAATCAAAAAAATCAAAAAATAAATACTATAATAAATATAAATAAAAATATTTATGTCTTTTTAATTTTATAAAACATATTTTTATTTAAAAATTACAAAAACTACTCCCATCTACATAAAAATAACTAAATAATTGCTCTTTTCAAAATTTAAAATTAAAAAAAAAAAACTCACAACATAGTGGGTGTACCGAATTTTAATCAATAATAATGAAAGCAAATGATGGAATACTACTTCAGACCTTTCTATTAAATTTTCATTTTTCTATTCTAATTTTTACAAAATATTCCTTCATTTGAAGTCTTGAATTTTTTGCGAGTAAATTAAAACAAGAAACAACTGGCAGAAGGCCATTGCGTGATGTTAACAGCCGCGGGGCTGTGAAACTGTCACCACGACTCACAAGGGGGCGAAGTGCCTTTGGTTGATGATTTTCTGTTGAGAAAGCCAGCCGTGGAAGTTGCAGCTACCGTTGCCTTTGCCCTTGGGTATCGTCATCAAAGATTTGTGGTAAATAAAGCTTTGTTGTCTTTAAAGATTGAAATCAAAGCCACGTCATACACTGATGTAGTGACGAATTTAGCCCGTGACTTAATCAGCCAAGAATAAATGCTCTTTTTAGGAAAAGATAATATTTTATTGCCGTTATAAGTTATTGAATATTATCAAAGTTTGAATGGAATTATTGAAGTTTCAATTACAACTATGGAGAGGCTATTGGGACACAAGTTATTATTTATGTATTTAAGTTCATCTACTTTTTATTTTTTATAGAAAATTACTCAGCTTGATAGAGGGAAAAGATTTTTTTTTTTATTTAGAGTATAAATGAATAAAACATTCTAAAAATAATTTGTAAATAGATTTATTTTTTCTTCATTTATATTTATTTATTAAATTTAATCAATTATTATAAATAATATTTAAAAATTTATTAATTAAATGAACAAATTATAAATATAATAAAACTTATTTAAATTTAATTTATTTACACTCAATGACATAAATGAATAAAGCAATTGATAAATAATTTTATGAATAAATTTAATTTTTATTTATTTATTAAATTTAACAAATAATCATAAAATTATTTTTAAAATTTATTACTTAAATAAATAAATTACGAACCTAACAAAATTCATGCTTGTTTAATTTATTTACATATATTTTAAATCCAACAAATTTTTTTAAGATTAAAAAGTTCATTATTTAACATTTCCTTTATAAATCAAGTTGAAATAAACAAATCATTTTTTAATTTTTTTTCCAATAAATTAAAAGTCAAATTTGTCATACTAGTGCTTTCAGTTCTTAATTCTCACAAAGTGGTCCAAGATCAGAAAAAAACAGACAGTGAAAGCAAAAGCCACAAGATCAACATCGTTTTTCCTTTTCTTCGATCTTATCCCTCCGATCATACTTCATTTAAACCCTGCGTTTGATGTGATAGTATTAATTAATAGACTTAAATTACCCCCACCAAGTTGACCAATTAATGTAAAAGTGTTTTTTTTTTTTTTTTCAAAATGGAGATGAAGGAAATTTGTCATTCTTTACAAAATTAATTACAGGACATTAGTTAATTGATAAATATTTCAATGGTTAAGCTATAAAGTGAAATAAAATAAAATTCATGATTTGATTTAATTATTTAAATAATTATTTTTAAAAATAATATTTAATTAATTTAAATTTTAAATCTTAATATTTATAATTTATTTTTTTATTCTTAAATTGTGACTTGTTTTATAGAGAGAGAGAGGAATGTCGATGGTTCATAAGTGGCAAGAGTTTTATTAATATAAGTGAATCTGTACTACATATATAAAGAAAGAAAAATTATTTGATACATTGATAGTTAAATTTTTTAATTAAATAAAAAAAATTAAAATTATGATATATATTTTATTTTTAAATTAATTTTTTATTTTTAAATATACATTAAAATATATATATATGATCATTTTAATCTCACTTGTAAAATTAAAAAAATTTATTATCAAGGTATTTAATAATTTCTTATATATATAAATATATAGATAAATATGATTTTACCAATTAAATATTAATTTAAATGGCATGAATGTTGGAAAAGTCATGGTCATGGGGCTATAGGTTTGAGATTATTTAGACGCTTAAAATGAGTTAAGTAAATAAAGATTGAGAGATTAAAACGTAGAAGAATTAAAAAAAAATACAAATATAATTTTGGTTGAGAAAATAGCAGCGGACGTTCAACAACCGTTGCCATTGGCGTGCATGTGATGAGCGATAATAAAAATTGTTATTAAAGATTGAAATCCAAGCAATGCTTAATTCACGAAAGCCTAGAAAGTCAAAGCATAGTTGTGGCGACTTAAGTCACCACCAACCCTCGAAAAGTACTTTGAATTTCCATTTACATTTTTAGCAACGAAAAATGGAAGGCAATGTTTTTTTTTTTTTTAAGAAAAATTAGGGATAAATAACGTGTTTAATCTCTTAAATTAGGATAAAATATATTATATCTGATAATTTAAAATAATTAGTTATAAATCATACATTTGAGATGATCTCAATAAATAATTACTGATAAAACTCGAATCTAATATTTTTTCGTCGAAGAAAACAGATCTTAACCAATTGAACAAATCACTTATTAATAAATATTAGTTAAAATAAAATCAAGGTTACGAGTTAGAACGGAATCAAGTAACCAGATTGATAAAGATTTTATATCTAATATGTGTATAAATTTATTTTAAATTGACGTTGATTATAAAACTTAAAAAAAAAAATCATACCCAACAAAATAAAACAAAATTTAAAAAACTAAAGGCGTAAATTGATATTAGAACATTTTAATTCAATTATAAATGCATATATTTTGTAAATTAAATTCTAAAACAGTTTCTTCATCTAAATTAAATTGAATCATTTTTTGCTTAAAAATGAAAATGAAGGAAACATACGAGAAGTAATACGAGATACATTCGGAGCAATGCAAGATGTTAAACATGCCCCCACCTTCTCCTCCTGCCAGATGCCTCTTTTATTCCCTTAAATTAATGTGCTTTATTTATTAGTTAGGCACCTTAGAAATGGGCTTTTACGAAACCCAATTTCTTATCCCAAGGCTTGGTTAGACGTGATGGGACACAGCACACGAAAAGTAGGGTGATAAGGGTTTAGTTGAGGTTGATGTATAATATTATAAAATTTTAAAATTTAATTTGAATTTAAATTAAATTTTATTTGAAATAAATTTGATTTTATTTAAATTTTATTGATTTAATTTGATTCATTAGATTTTAAAATTATTTTTTATTTTTATATTATTTTAATATAAATTTTAATATATTTAGTTAGATTTAAATATAAAATAATTATTTTTTTATAAAATTTAAAATATATAAATTAACAAAAAGATATAATTTAATTCGAACATTTTTAATTTTTTACTTTTTAATCTAAAACTAATATATACATTTAATATTTAAATTTAATATGAATTGAATAAAAAAATCCAAATCAAACTAAATATTATAATTTTAAATTGATTTTTATTTTTTAATTTTTTTCTCCTCCTCAATGAAAAGAGCCTCTTTCTGCATCATTCATGGTGTGAAAAGCGAGCCTAAATCAAGGAAAGCTATTTTTATATACAACCAAACGCGACCTTGATTGATTCAATTAAAAGATAAAAAAATTTTAATTTTAATTAAAATTTATAATATATTAAATTATAATTTAATCATTGGATTATTTTTTATTATTATTAAAAGGAGTGTAAGTGTGAACGAGATGGATACCCCTATAAACATATTCCCATCTGGCACCAACAATTTCATAGGCTTGCCACCATATTTTGCACAATACAACGAGTAAAAGGATTAAAAAAAAAAAGTAGATTTTTTTGGCCAAATAAAAAATGAAGATTGTCAAAAGCAATTTTGCTACTATCAATTACATCCACAGTGTAAAAAGAATTAATTAAAAGAAAAAAAAAGGCATATCTTACTTTGAAAAAATGAAAAGCTAAAGTTTTTATATATACATTTATATGTGGCTGTTAGACATATATGATAATCGATAGAGCCCAAACTAAAACCAAAATTTTGATTGGCGTGTGTTTGCCATTGGGCAAAACCAACTCCTTGATCCTATGGCTTCGTCTCTAGGCACCGCCGCCGTTTCTCGAATCTTGGCTTCCTCCTCCTCGTCCTCCGACGGAGCTCGACTGTCTCTCCGCTCCTCCTCTTCCTCCTCCTCCCCTTCTCCCTCTATCCTTTCTTTCTCCTACTCTCTCAAATCCCTCGCTTTCTCTCCTCTCTCTTCTCATTTCTCCCGCCACCAGGTTCCTCCTTTTCTTTATTCTTCTCTCCTTTTGATATTGATATTTGCATTTATTTTTTTGAATTAATTTTGTTAAATTGATGAAACAGAGGAGACCGGTTGTTAATGTGTCGACTAGAGCGAGTCCGAAATGCGCAGCTTCGGATCCGGATCAGTTGAAGAGTGCTAGAGAAGATATCAAGGAGCTTCTCAAATCTACGTTCTGCCATCCTATCCTGGTATTAATCACTTTTTTTTCTTTTTCAATGCTTTTTTTGCACTATTGCTTCCCTTTGTTTCTTGTTGAATAAATGTAGTTATTTTTTTATTTTTTAGCATAAAGAATAAATTCTTGGTTTATTCTGAAGAACTATTTGATTTTAGTGAACTTTATTTTATATTTGAAGAGATGAAGTATCAGTATAGGCAGCATTCAAAGTGTTTGGATAGATATTAATAAAGGAATGTAATTTGATTGGAGTTTGATAGAAAGGAAGGGCACAATTCTTTCCTCCTCTCTTCCTATTTCCTTCCTACCAAACCAGAGAAAATAGTTTGTCAAAGACTTGAGAAAAGCAACAAGGTTACTTCCATATGAATATAATTTGATATAACGCAACAGGTTCGCCTAGGATGGCATGATGCTGGTACCTACAACAAGAACATTGAGGACTGGCCACAAAGGGGTGGAGCAAATGGAAGTCTTAGGTTTGAAGTTGAGTTAAAGCATGCAGCGAATGCTGGTAAAGTATTTCCTTTTTTTTACTTATAATGTCCGATTAGCTTAGTTGGTAGGATTGTTGCCTCATAAGCTTAAGTTTCAGGACTTGTGAATGCATTGAAACTTATTCAGCCAATCAAGGACAAGTACTCCGGTGTAACTTATGCAGATTTATTTCAGTTGGCTAGTGCCACTGCTATTGAGGTCATCCTTATTACTATTACTCTTCTATGAGTATGCTTATTAATTGATTGTGTAACTATTGTACTCAAAATCCTTTTGAAACTTCAGGAGGCCGGGGGACCCAAAATTCCTATGAAATATGGAAGGGTGGATGTCTCAGGACCTAATGAGTGTCCTGAAGAGGGCAGGCTACCTGGTATGTGAACCTTCAATTGCTACATGATGTATCCGTATGGATGTTAATTTGTGCGATGATTATGTCGCCCCTTAATTAAGAAACACAGAAGAAGTCTGATGCAGCTAATAAATTGGTAGGAGAGTGTTGCTAAAATTTCTTAACTGGTTGTACGATGAATTTGAACATGGCATCACTTACTCCATCTAATTCTGGATTTTGGGCTGGTCATTGCATTTTTAAGCATCAAGTCATGGTTTTTATAGGTGATATATCTTTGTCTGATAACAAACATAGGTACCACTTGGTTTTCTGTTGTCAACAAGATAAGACAAATTCTTCAAGTGCCATTGTTCTAGACTGTATAAGAGTATTATGATCTTTAGGATTTTCTTGTGAGTAATAGTAGCTACAAGGTGCTTTATATATAAACAAGCTGAACCATGTTTTAGCTACCATTAAGTTAGTAGTTTGTGTCTTAGGGATCTGGTAGCACACTAGTACTAATAAATTTTATTTTGCTGGATTTTGTGAGTAATGAGCTCCTATTGGCTGTGGTTTTGCACTATGTGGCTAAATTATCAGCTGTCGATAATTAGATTCCTCATATTGGTTGCCTTTTATAATTTTTAGGGTTGTTTAGATCTATCCCTTCTCCAAGTATTTTGGGCTTCTTTTCCTTCCATTTTCCCTCATAGGTATTACATACAGTTTGATTGACTTCTGCTTATTTTTGGAAACCACAAACTTTTAAAGTATTTTTCTGTTGTTAGATGCTGGCCCCCCATCACCTGCTGATCATCTACGAGATGTTTTTTACAGAATGGGATTGAATGACAAGGTAAATTTAATTGTAAAAGATCTTGGTAATTGTCTTTGTCTTGGCATGTAGGTGATACTATTAATCATCTGCCTTTTTGATATGTAGGAAATAGTTGCATTATCCGGTGCACACACTCTTGGGAGGTCCAGACCAGAGCGCAGTGGTTGGGGCAAACCTGAAACAAAGTATACGGTATTTAAATAGCTTGTTTTGGAAAGTATATTTGTTCAAGCTACTTAAGTTGGTCATTTGTCATATCCATTCTTGATTTTGGCTAGAGATTCTGGTGCAAATTCTTAGCACTATAGTCTTTTATAGTTATCAAAGAATATGTGAAGCGCCATTTATTTAGCACATTGCTGTTCATAAGAAGAAGCATTCTCCCTTTCCTGTACTCACCAATATCATCCATAAATCAAATCTATGGTCTTCCTAAATATATTTTTCTGTTTGGTATAATTCAAAAGGCTTCCTGAATATAACATGTCGTCAAGTGTTTTTATTCACGTTTTCTCGCATTTGATAAGAAACCTATTCATGATTGGTAGGTGTGCCTGTGATATTAGACCTGTTAATGACTTCATAATTACTGGAAAGATCTGTTTCCTTAATTGGAACATGCATTGAGGATAGGCAATGTAGTAATCTCCAGCAGAATGGTGGTGGTTCTAGTAGCTATGGTTTTGTATCAATAGCAGCAGTTAAGGATTTAAATTGGATTTTCCTTCTTTAATGACAGAAAGATGGGCCAGGAGCACCAGGAGGACAGTCCTGGACAGTGCAATGGTTGGAGTTTGACAATTCATACTTCAAGGTCCAAAATTGAAATCAATTTCTCTTCTCCAGTAAGAATAGATGTAAAAGTGTCTGATTTTCTTTTATATATACAGGACATCAAAACAAAAAGGGATGAAGATCTGCTTGTGTTGCCAACTGATGCTGTTCTTTTTGAAGATCCCTCTTTCAAGGTAGATAAATCGAGTTCAATTTAAGCTGGTAAGAAAATATAATTGCAGTTTTGGCTAAGCATTACTTTATTTGAAGGTATATGCTGAGAAATATGCTGTGGATCAAGAGACATTCTTCAAGGATTATGCAGAAGCCCATGCCGAACTTAGCAACCTTGGGGCCAAATTTGACCCTCCAGAGGTTTGTTTGCGATGAATGGTTGCTGTTTATTGCTTTCATGAATACAAAAAGTTTAATTAGTAAAAATTGCTAGGCTTTTGTTACTATTAACAGCACTTTTCTTTTTATTATGGTGTTGTTTTTCGACATTTGGGGAAGATACTTGTTTTAAAGAGTTGCTTGTTAAGCATACTTTACCTAATTTTTTTCATGCATATTAAGTTCCACCAGAAAGAATTTGTCTTATCTCTGGATGGATCGATGATACCTTAGCATAAGCGAAAGAAAAATGATTGGGTCTTTTCTGTGCAAACCCCATTGTTGTTGAAGTATTCTAAATTGCTCATGTTTGTGGCACTTAATAACAAAGATTTTAAATTTGTGGTTTGGCTAGTATCAGTTTCTAAGTTTTTGTTTCATCGAGTTGCTTTTGTCTTTTGCTTTCTGATGTAGGTTTCCATTTAGATATATGTATAGCCATAGACATGCAACTTTCATGTTTCTTTTATAGAGTTTTAAAAAAAAAAAAAAAAAGAAAAAGAAAGATTTTCTTTTATCAAGTTAGATTGTAATAATGACGTGAGAGAGGTACTTTAAGGACCTAAATATTGATTTGCTAAATTTGATGATCAGGGTATTGTGTTAGATGATGCTCCCAAACAAGCTGCACCGGAGAAGTTTGTTGCTGCCAAGTACTCAACAGGAAAGGTTGTAACCATGAATAACTTATTTCATTTTCGTTATATATAGTGATTTCTTAAATTCATTGCATTTTTTTTCTGCATGAAGGACTCACCTGAAAGAAATTACATATGCGCAAATTGTTCATCTTGTCTGTTTTCCATGATTCATTGCAGGATTAAAAAAAACAAGTTTCTTGTTTTGTTGTGCCGTATCTTATAATAATACAAGCTCACATCTTAAACTTGGAGGTCTAAATGAAGAGGAAAAGAATAAAAATTCAATGAGTGTTTTGAATTGCAGAGAGAGCTCTCAGAGTCTATGAAGCAGAAGATTCGAGCAGAATATGAGGCTCTTGGTGGAAGCCCAGATAAGCCTCTACCAACCAACTATTTTCTAAATATCATGATTATTATTGGTGTTTTGGCCTTATTGACATCTCTTCTTGGTAATTAACTTAGTTTTTCAGATTCTTTATGAAAGTAGTATCATGATTTAATTGTGAAATGAGTGAGACAATGAGTATATATGGTTTATGATGCTGAATCAGTGCTATAATCAATGTTTATATCAGCAAAATAGTTTTTAAGCCTGTCAGATGGTATACTTAAGCTCCATTTAGTTGCTGCTTGTTGCATATTGAAATTGGTTCATGAATCCTGAGCCAGCCACCTATGATTTTTTTCTGATGAATTCCTTTTTGGGTTACAAAAGGGTGGGAGGGAGAGTATTTTCAGGTAAATTTCTTGTTTTGGGTTTCGAATAAAAACTCATGTAGGCCAAAAGCGCAGTTCCATTCTTTAAAGCAATATCTATCTAAACCTGCCACTTTCAAGGGGCAAACAGCGGGAAAACCAGTACTTGTATCCAAAGAAACATTTCCATGGTTCAAATTTGAGGTTTTAATTTATAAGTTTCAAATTCTCTTCTAATGTTAAGTAATGCAATATATCCAAGTATTTACTCAATGGTCAAATTTTAAACTCTTTTTTTTTTTTTTTATTGTGTGTGTGTGTGGTAAAATTTAGGATAGATAAGTCATTTAATCTTTCAGGTTAAGATAAAATGTACTCTTTGTTAGAATAATGCAATTGAAATTATCATCAACAAGGAATTATTTTTAGGATTCCAATCTAAAATCACTTAAATGGAAGTGAACAAATTTATTGATGGAGTCAACTCTTTGAGGTAATTACAACCTCATCTTAAAATAGAGAAGCATCTCAAAATTGCTAGCATATGTGATGTTTGACAAAAATGGAAAGTAGATTTTGGCAGCTACTTACTATCAGTCATGACTAGTTCCAAGCGATTTGACACAATATTAAGCAGCCAGCCTTTGAGAAAAATGGAGAAGATGGTGTGATATGGCCTTTTAAGCGGACATTGGTGCCTTAATAATGCCAGGTGTGTTGGTTGGATTCGGTTGAAAAAAGCTGTAAATTGAACATTTCAAAACTGTACATGTGTGTTAATGGCTAAGATTGGATTAGTAAAATAAAAGAAGATGGTCACTTTCAAGTTTTTCAAGTTCTTTCGATGGAATCTCTTATGGACGAGGATAGGGTTTATGGAATTAGAAGTGTTAACTCAGACTTAGGATGGAATCTATTTGAGAATTTTTTTTTTTTTTTTTGATACATAAGATGGGCGTAGCTCGGGAAGGAGAGGAAGTTTTGGTTCGAAACCAAGGTCTTTATGTTCTCCCAAGGGCTACTTAATCATTAGGTGAAGGAGTTGGGGACAAACTCGATTGAACTTGCATGTAAAGAAAAAGTTCAAACACAATCTTAACTAGTCATCCTTCGTAATAAAAATAAGATTAAGAATCCTGAAAAAGCTAAACAATTTTGAGGTCCATAAAAGATGAGATAAATTTGCCTTCAACTACCGGTTTCGATTGTAGTGAACCAGAAAAAAGTCTGGCAAAATTGGTCTCTAATTCAATAATTTGTTTTGCAAAACATGCTAATGAATAGAAGGTGGAACTATTTCAGTCGAAGGACAAAAAGGAAAATGGATTGGAAAACAGGCCAGAACTTTAACAACTTGCAAAATTAAGACATCACCCAACAGGCCAGCACCCACCCAAGTTTCGATTATCAGAATCCTTAAAAGGTGGCTTTTTTGCAAAAGCATATTGGTTTTTGAGTTTTGACCAGACAGACAAGAATGTCGATTCAAACTTTCTCTTCTCTCCATCCATTGAACAGTGTAAAAAGGAGACCAAGAGATCATTGCTGTTACCCCATTTATGCTGCACATGGGGTGTTCAGTTAATGATCAACTCTCATGGAAATCATCATTTGTAGATTTACTTTTTTTCAGCTTTGCTATGGTAAAAGCTTATAGTACCATATAATTGGGGGGCTGAGCTATACCTTATCTTCTTTTTTTATTATTATTACTTTTTCTCTGGGCCTCACGCTCAGTTTTTGCCTCTCTCATTATTAATTTCGATGGGGAAAGTTGGGATTGGAGGGTTGTAAATTGTATTTGTTCTGCAATGGCAGAAATAAGTTGAGTGCAATGGATTTCATGATATTTTCATGGTTCAATCACTTTTTTTTTTTTTTGTAAAAGAGGTTACAATATGAGAATAAATAAAAAGATTATAAATGTTAAAATTTAATTTTTAATGTTATTTTTTAAAAAATAGTTACATAAATTAACTGCATTAAATATTGAGCTTGGTTCAATTATCTTTTTGATGATTATAAATTTGTATATAAATAAAATTTAGAAAAGGGATTACAACATCCCAACATTCAACTCATTTGGTTGGTACATTTACTTTTCAAAGAGTATGAAACAAATCATGCTCTCCAAATTAAAAAAAAAAAAAAAGGAATTACAACTATTATCTTAGACTTGCATCAAATTTTAAATGTTGCCCGAGTTTCCAATTTGAAATTTCTAATTAAACTTTTGAATCTCAATTCATAAAGGGAATGGGTAAATTTTTTGAAGAAAGGAACAAAAAGTTGGAGAAAAATAACAGCAGAAAAAGGCTAATACATTATTGACATAATAAGAAATGATAGCTTTGTTATAATCCTTAATCCCAATTCCCATTATTGCCTGTGTTAATAATTTTCAAGTATCAGGCTTAATTATGGCCTGCATCGATAAGACTTGGCAATCTAAAACCCTAATATTTTTGTATGGACCACAGAGTAATTAAAGGAACAATGCAACAGATTAAAATTGGATTCAAACAAATTGATGGATTTTCAAGAGAAATAAGAAGAGATTATCTGATGATGTTTTGTTCCATTACAACTTGCATAATCAACAATCTGAACATGAATACAATTTTCTTAGTCAAAGACGCTTTATCAAATTCAGCATATATTCATCACCAATGGACAAAATTAATCCTTGACCACGAACAAAGGGTGGGTGTCCTAGGTCATATCCTTTACGATGACCAAACCCTATGATTCCACTTCAAAAATTTTTGAGTTTGACTTGAATTTTAAGTGGAAAAAGCCAAAAACTTTTCTATTCTTAGGACCCATCTACTTAAAAAAATTTTAGGTTCTCTAATGGCCATCTCTTTCACAAAAATTTGAGCTTTGTTTTAAGCGTGTTTGTGTTGAAAATAGAGGCCAAAACTTCATTACAATACAAAAATTTTCGGATAAATTGAAAGTACGTGATTCTAGAAATCTTGTTTGGTCGGGGACCAATTTCCCTTTAGATTTAAATGTCCTTTGGTTTTGAAATTGGGTTGTTTTGAGCTCCTGTGCTATGAAATTTCAAAGCACGTGATTTGGCATAGGAAATATGGAAAGTAGCACGCCCAATTACCTGTGGGATTTAAGCCACGGCAGTTCATTCATTTTCTCTTATTAATTATTTGTTATTGGTTTGGTTGATTGAGTGAAAATTTTACACGAAATTTTAAGATAAAGTTCATGAATTTTTTTAATATAAATAATTTAATTAAATATTTAATAAAAAATTTAAATTAAATAAATATATATTTAATTGTAAAAATTTTGTCAAAATTTTTATTAAAAATAATTATTTGAAAAATATATCAAAATTAATTAATTTTTTAAAATTTTTATACGTTTAATTTATGTAATAAAAATTTATTAGTTAATCAATTTTAATTTTTATTTAATACTTTTAATAAAAAACTTTACAATTTTAAGTATTTTCTTATTTTAATAATTATCGCTTTTTGTCTATTTATATGCTACAATTGTTTTTTTTTTTTTCCAATATTCTACCATCACTATTTAATTAGTGGCGAAGTGATATTTGATATGCTACATTTTTTTTTTTTTCCAATATTCCAGCGTTACTATTTAATTAGTGCCACTTGCGAAATGAAATTTGCAGAGAAAGTAACGCAAGCAGCTGATAACAATTCACAGCCTCTGACTCACCGTTTTACGACATAAGCTCCGCTGAATTTCGAGGCTATCCTTTAGATAGTTTTAGAGTTAGCGTCACGACGGGTTCGAACGTGAATTTTACTCGTTTTGAATTTGATTTAATTTTATGTGTTATTAAATTTAAATTTAATTTTATTTATTTATTTTAATTTTTATATTTAAATTTAATTTCGATTCGATATTATATAAATTATATTCGATTTGATTTGACTTAAAATTAATAAAATATTATTTTTTAATATAAAATATTATTTTTTAAATATAAATATTAAAAAATATCATTATATAAATATATAATTAATTAATTAAAAATAAATTTTTATATAATATCGTGTCGGATCAGATCGAATTTACCTAAAATTTGAACTTGATCCGATCCGATTGTTTTATAATCTTATTTGACCTGACCTGAAATCTAAATTAAAAAAAAAAAAATCGATCCCTTATAGTCGAGTCGGATCAAAACCCGTCAGGGATAGATTAAAATACCAACCCTAAATGGTATTGAGACTAATAAATTGTTAATTTAAAGAAAATATAATGAATTTTAATCAAAACAATTTCGAAATCAAATTTTAATTATAATAAAAAATATATAAAAATAATGAGCGAAAAGGAGGTGAGACAAAATGTTTTATTTTTAATTCTTTGATAGATTCATTCAAATTCATTCCTTTCTACCTTAGAATTATTATTTTTATATCTAATCTTGGATCGAAAAATATATATAACTTTTATAATTATTTTATTAATTACATATATAATATAATTATATAATTAAAAATATATATAAATACAAATTATAATAATATAAGTGAATCTTTGTTCGTGTGTAATCACATAATTTAGACCGTCAATGATGAACGTCATCACACCGTCCATCTTTAAAAAATTAAGATGAAATGCCTTAAATTTATGAAATAATAAAGTGTACTACATATAAACATTGTGCTTTTTATTTTCAGCTTGGGAAAATGAAAATGATTGTACAAAAGGAAATTCGTGAACAATTATGAAAGTTAAATTGTACAAAAATAGTAAATTAAATTAACATCTTTATAAAAATTGTTTTATGCCACCATCTTTAAGTGGAAAATAATTTTTAAGGTTTTTCCTCTTTAACTACAAGATTTAAATAGAATATAATAAAAATTGACAATATTTAATTATTTTTTAATTAATTTTCATATATAAATATATATTTGATTAAATACTTTGTAAATTCTTTAATTTTATTTGTAAATTTTAAAATTTTAAACGTTAATATGTAAGATGATTTTTCATAAAAAAAAAATTACCTAAATCTTTTTCATAAGTTCAAAAACAATTTGGGTTTTTTTTTCCCAAAAAAAAAAAAAACAATTTGAGTTTTTACTTTTTGGTGATTGGATGGAAGAATCAAGAATCTATGCTTGGGGTTACCCAATTGCATAAGTTGTTTCCATCAAACACAATAGCAACAACAACTACTCTTTTTGCAATTATTTATTTTTTTTGGTGAAAAATTCCCACAAAATTGCTTCCTTTCCTCTCATTTCACTTTTAGCTTAGGTTTGTTTGTTAATCCTTTTTATTTCTTTTCAAAACGTTTTCTAAAAGATATCATCTACCATATTTTTTTTATAAAAAAAAAAATTATTCATGCAATTATTTTTTAAAATTACATTTATAATAAAATATTACATTTATATAATGAACTAAATAATCAACAATTACATCATTGAATTATCAATTAATAAATTATAATTTAATTAAATAATTAAACCCACGCATAATATAACTTAAACCTAAGATCTCATAACATTTATTCAATCGACAAGAAATACATTTTTTAAATAATTATTATAGATAAATGAAAAAACCATGAGAATAAAAAATTTATTAATCTAATAGGTAAGCTATAAAATAAAAAATAATTAAGAATTTTAACTATTAGATTAATAAATTTTTTATTTTTACTTTTTTTTTTTATCTTTCCTATCAAGCTTTAAGTTAAATAAATAAAGCAAGTAGCTTTAACCTTTAAGCATGCAATAATTCTTTTAAAGGACATCTTAATAATAAAAAATCTTACACTCAAATTATAAAAATATTTTATGGAATGAAAGAAAATCATATTTTTTTTAATTTTTAAATCAAAATTGTTTATATTAAAATAAACAAATTTATAGCTATATCTATATTTGAGTATTAACTACTTTGCACATGCAATTGATATTGTAGTTTAATAGAGCTATTGATTGCACACAAAAAAAGTAGTAATTTTTTTAATGCCAAACAAATCACCAAAGAAAAACAAAACCTACATTTTTTAATGTCTTGTAATTTGTAATAAAGATTCCTAACTTGTGTCTAACTCTTTGCTATTTATATTTGTTTATTGCAGCATGTTTGGCTGGCTTGGTCAACAACTCTCATTGCAACATTCTGCCCACCAAATCTACATCCTTCTCACCTTATAAAACCCCACTTTAAAATCACACCCAACAATAGTAAAGGTTGCTCTAGAGCTAAGGTTTTTCCTTTTGAAGTTAGAGTGGGAAAAAAATTTTTAAAAAATTGCTTCATTTAATCGGTTCATGTAATTATTCTTAAGAGATAGTATTTAATAAGTTTGAAATTTAAATTTTAATATTTACTATTTCTTTTTCTATTCTTAGTTTGCGACATCTTTTGTATCGAAAATTAAAAAAAAAAAACTCAAAAACGAAGAATCTAACTACTTTGGGTGTCATTAGGTTAAGATAAGGATGGATTAAAGTGAACAAATTTAAACAATTTTGAATTAAAAAAAAGTTTCTTTTTCAAAAGGGTTTTATGAGAGTTTAAATAATTATTTGTCATTCACTTAATCTTTGTTTTCCTTTTTGTTTTTAGTAAGAAGAATAGGCACAATAATGAAAAAGAAATTAAAGCTTGTTAATGAGTGATGTTGATGCCTCTTTTTTTTTTTTTTTTTAATTCTCCTTAAAAGAAGAAAAAAGTTATCTTAAATAATTACATATGTATAGACCTAAGATGGCTATATCCTCAAAATAGATTAATTGTGTAATTTAATCTATGCCTATGTTACTTTTCAGTGATTGCATTCCAATATTTTTAACAACAAAATCAATTTGGTGAGAAATTGTATGGGTGAACCTAAAATAAGAAGAAGAAAAGTAAAGGGATGAATAATATTTTAACTCAAATCATACGATCATACAATCACTCCAAATTTTATATGTTAAAATGACATATATATTTAGCAAATAACTTTAAATAAATTATTCAATGCATTGATAATGAAGTTTTTTAACTTTACATACGGAATTAAGATGATGACATATATCATTTATATATTTAAAAAATTTAATTTAAAAAGTAAAATATGTATCATAATGTTAATTGAAATTAAAAAATTTTACTGTCAGTTTATTAAATAATTTCTCGTAATTTTATTATATGATGAATATCATTGTTTGAAAACTCCTTTTTTTTTAAGCTCATAATATTGATTTTATTCACAAATTTTCTTATTTTCATGTATTAAAATACCAATTTAAAAAAAAAAAGTGATTGAAAATCTAGGGAGAATAAAATGGCATATGCCCAAAAGTTAACACCCTTCAAATTAAACTAAAAATATTATGATTTTTAGTGGTGGAATTATTCAATAAGTGAAGAAAAAAAAATGTAAACAACAATTTCAATGAATTAAGAGATCATTTAGCATTGTGACAAAAGAGATTTTCATAACATGTAATATAATTGTATGATTGAACTTTAATCAAATCCTAACTAGGGCTGTAAACGAGCCGAGCTGAATAGTGAGAAACTCGAGCTTGAGCTCGACTCACAATTCGGGGCTCGATACTCGGCTCGAACTTGATCAAGTTTTATTTTTCAAGCTCAAGTTCGATTCGTAATCGAATTCGAACTACTCGAGCTCGCTCGATTAAGCTCGATTAATATGTAAAAATAAGCTCGATTCGTATACTCGACAAGAGTTCGATTATTCATGCTCGAACTCGAACTCGAACTCGGACTCGAAATATTTTATTAATTAAAATAATAAAAATATATTTAAATATAAAAGCTCGATTAGGCTCGTAAGCTATTCGAGTCAGATATAAGAATACTCGAATTCGACTCGATCGATAAATCGAGCTACTCGAGCTCGAGCTCGACTCAATAATAATCGAACTGAATTCGAGTTTTTTTCGAATCGAACCTGAATAACTTATGAATACTAATGTATCATTTGTACCCTTAATACTAATAAAATCCAAAATCAAATGCATTAAATGTGTGGTGGGAGCAATGCACCACAAATTAAATGCATGTCATGAATAAAACACCTACTACAAGCATTTACTATAAAATGATCAATAAATGAGTACAATCACCTAAAATTCATCAACCTATTACTTAGCATACATTTTTATCTCATACTACATTTATTCTTTTTTTTTTTTGTAATTTTGTTACTGAAAATTATGTAATCTCCGTATTTTTTTTTTGTTGGGCTATCTAATTTATTATTGTCAGTAATAAAATCTGTAGGTCTTGGATCACCTAACTCAAACCTATAACTTTGTGCTAATATGCTTTGTTGGTATTAGCCCATTTTCTCTATATATAAATAAATATTTTATATGTAATAAACATCTAGAGTTACTTGAGTTAGAAACATTAATTGACAAATTTTTTAATTTTTTGAGAAAAATTTTAAGACGAATAAATAGTTATAACTCGAATTAAAATACAAATGTATAAAATTTTCACTCATTTTTTTTTAGAGTTTTATTAGGGTTGACAACCTAATTTATCTTGACAGATTTCGATCTAATCCAATTTTATATGATTGATTTATTTTTTAAATTAGATTTTAGATCGAATTGGATCAAGTAATAATGAAAAAAGTCATGATCGGATCGAAGTCGAATTTTAGGTAAATTCGACTCGATTTGACTCGATATATATAATTATTTTTTAATTAATTAATTAATTATATAAATATTTATATATTTATTTAATTTTATATTTTTTAAAAAAATAATATTTTATTAATTTCTGATAAAAACGATTTATATAATATAAAATCGGGTTGTGTTCGATATAAAAAAAATAAAAAAAATTTCAAGTCGGGTTGGGTTCGTATTTTATAAATCTAAAGTTGAATAAAATTTTAAGCGAATAAAATTTCATCTCGACTTGATGTCATCCTTAAATTTTGTATTATTTTTAGTGTTAAAGGGTTATTAAACTCAATTTCAAAATTTTTATTACGTAATTTGAGGTGAATGAATTAATCGATTAAATAAATTTTTAATCGATTTTTTAAAATACGTGTATATTATATCTTAATCATTTTAAAGTGAAATAATAAATATAAAGCCATCTATGAAAATATAAAATAAAGCACAAAAAAATGTCACTATTAGACAGTAAAAGTTTTTTGATAGACAGTAAATTTTGATTGTTCATAGTATGACATTATCATTGTAATCTGCACAAATAGAACAATCAAACAAGGCAGGCAGGCAGGGCACGTGAGCTTAGGAGTTTGACAGAAAACTTATTACTGTCGATTCATATTTATTTTTTGGCCAAACAGTCGATTCATATTTACTGCTATCAAAATAAGATAAAATCTGAAAAAAAAAAAAAAAAAAAGAACGAAAGAGAGAAAATGGTAAATGGGAGCAATAATGACAACGTCCGTTACAATGGCGGGTTCCACGAGCTTTCTTCTTCTGTTCTGTGCAACTCTGAACCATCTCTCTGCACTAAACAAAACAAAATCAAAAGGGAAACAAAGCAAAGCAAAGCAGAGTCTTTCTCACTATCCAAACAATATATTCAATTTTTTTTCACATCCCCACAAAACCCTCTTCACGCATCTCTATAAATCATTTAATTTTTGTTTTCATGTTCTCTGAATTCAATAACTAAACTACAAAAAACCCATATCTTAGTTTCATCAATCTTCTTCTCTCTCTGCATGGACGGTCATTTCTTGTTCTCTGTAATCTCAACGGTCAGATTTCTCCCTCCCTTCTCTCTCTTTGCATGTATCAAATGAGAGAGTTAAGTTCTTCCCTTTCTCCTTGTAGATTTTCGTTGTATTTTTTTTTCTTATCAAAGTTCACTCTTTTTCTTGGGTTCTTTTTTTTGGCTGACAAAAAAATGGCTTCTTTTTGGGGATTGTTTTATGGGCAGGCACCATGAGTGGAACTGCTGGATCAAGTTTCCATAGTGGGTTTTATTCTTCTTCTACTTCTTCAGTTTTGGCTACACTTTTCGTTGCTAGTAGTATTATGGGCTGCGGACCATCCAAAGTCGACGACTTACCTTTGGTGACCCTTTGTAAAGAACGTAAAGAACTAATCAAAGCGGCGTCGATTCACCGTTCCGCTCTCGCGGCTGCTCATGTCACCTACTTCCACTCTCTCCGGGACGTTGGTGAAGCGATCCGCAGATTCGTCGACGAAGAACTCGTCGTCGGATCTGTGTCTTCGGCTGATTCCCCTGTTCTCACATTGCCTTCCGACGAATTCAAATACTCAAAAAAGAACAAGAAAAAAGACGACGACAACTTTCCTTCCTCTTCTTCAACTTCCCTTTCCCATTCCATTGAAGAAAACAGCAAACACACGAAAAAAGTCAAAGAAGAAAGTGATGGAGAGGATTCTCATTTGGATTTGTCATCTGGGTCACCTTCAATTTCCGGTTCAGGGTCCAATACAGGTCCTGCTTCTCCTTCGGGTCCTATTCAAATGGATCATAGTCATAGCCATAGCCCTGAAGAAGAGGGAGCAACGCCTTATGGTTACAACTATGGCTATGGCTATGGCTACGGATATCCTTACTCTCCCCCTCAAGAAAACTGGGGGTATAATGGTAATTCTACTTCTATGTATTACATGAAGAAATCTGCTACACCTTCTCAATCTTTTATTTATCAGGAGCCTGAGGGACATTCAAGTTATGGCTACTCAAGTTATCAAAATGGGGGCTTTTTTGGGAACTCTTTGGGGTCTCCAGGAGGGGGATATGGATATGGGCAGAGGAATTCTCCTCCTGATCCACCACAACCACCGCCAGCGCCGCCGTCTCCGCCGAGAAACTCGACATGGGATTTTCTTAATGTGTTTGACAGTTTTGATAGTAGTGGGTATCCGGGCTACTACTCTGCAGCTAGATACTGGTATGGGTCGACTACGAGTAGCCCAGATTCGAAGGAGGTGAGGGAAAGAGAAGGGATCCCTGATTTGGAAGATGAAACTGAAACTGAGATGTTAAGAGCTGCTCATAAAGAGAAGAGGAAAATAATGAATGAGGAAATGAATCATAATTATAATAATAGTAATAAAATTAGGAACTTTGGTGAAGGTACTTCAAAGTCAGTTCCAGTTCAAAGTGCAAATATTACTACTGATGGATCAACTTCCGCTTCAAAGGCAATGCCATCTAGCAAAAGTGAGAGCTTGGAGTCTGGTGGTCATATTAATATTAATATAAGTAGTGAAAGTGGTGATACTATTGTTACAAAGAGTTCTGAGGAAGGGCATGCAAAGAACAAAATGGTGAGTTTTGAGGTAGAAGAGGTATCAAATTTGGAGGTTGAGTCTTCCAAGCGAAGTAGTTTAACTACATTGTCCGTTCATGGTACAAGGGATCTCCAGGAGGTTGTGAAGGAGATTAAGGATGAGTTTGAGACTGCCTCTAGTTATGGGAAAGAGGTTGCTATATTGCTTGAGGTCGGCAAGCTGCCTTATCAGCGGCGTAAAGGAACTGGGTTTCGAGGTGGGTCTTCGGTTAAATTATCCTTTTTATAATTTGTCTTGGTTTCTTTTTCTGTCCTCTTCTTCAATTTGTTGCTGTTGTTGGATGCTTGTAAAATTATCATGTTGAATGTGCTAGGTAAGGCTTTGTGAGAGAGAGGTTTAAAGATTTTACTGTACTGCTATGGGGTGAGCTCATATTCTGCTAGATATTTTGCTTAAGCTTTCACTGAAATTCAGGACTATAATGAGTCTCATATGATAATGCCAAAATTGAACCAGGATCAGGTTGAACTATTAACAAAAAAGACAAAAAGAAAATTATTTTGACACTGCCAGGGCTGTAGCTAATTACATGATTTTACATCCCAACAAAAGTTGAAACACCGAGCATTAGGCAAAACTGAACTTTAGATCTTGTGTAAGCTTACCCACGTCTATTCTTTCATGATTTTGTCTGTTCAATCCTTGTTTGCATAGATGATTGAATTATTTGGGTTGATGGATTTTAAAGTTGTATTCCTTTTAAAATTCATTTACTTTGTTGCTTTATGGAAGCTTATATCTCTTTTCTGCAGTGATCTTTTCCAGGATCCTATATTTGGTAGCACCTAACATGTTATCATCACATCCTCCACCCAGATCATCCATACAAATAACTTCTAGGACAATGAAAATGGCAAAAGAATACTGTCAGGTATCAGCGCAGGACGAAAAACATAGAAATCTTTCATCAACTTTGGAGGAACTTTATGCATGGGAAAAGAAATTATATAAAGAAGTCAAGGTATGCATGTTATAAAAAAAAGAAAAGTTTGCTTCTGTACTTAGCAATCGATAACTATTGCCCAATCAATTTTTATTAGACTGAAAAGGTTGTATAGCATAATAGTTATAATTCACAGACGCTATAGTACTTTTTAGTTGTTCGATTTCTGGTTCGGTCACAATGTGATGCTTATTGAATTATTTTTTCAAGACTCTTGCTCTTATCTTACTATCTAATAGTTTCCTCAGCTTTTCTAGCTTTCTGTTTTTTATTTTTTATTTTTTTATTTTTACGTTTAATACTATTTTCTTCACCAGTTTCTGTTATTTCCACTCTTACTTCATAATTAAACAAAAAGCTATCAACAGTTGGATTTTAAAACTTAAAGTATGTTATTAGTCATGAAGTGACCTTATATGATCTGAAGCATTAATTTTTGCTGTTAACATGCATGAACATTAGATACTGATACCTATTTGTTGCAAGGCAAGTTTTGAAGTAGTTTGTTCCTAAATGGAAGAACACTTCCTTGGAGTTATTTATTGGTTTGCATTCTGAGAATTGGGAAACAGCATTTTTGTTTTTGCTAGTCATATTAAGATAAATCTTCAAGTTTCTTTATTATTGTTTGGCTGACCGTTTAAGTCCTTCAACATGATTCCAGCCATGCACTATTTCTTGTACATTTGTTAAAAACTAAATCCTTGGTCAACCAAGTAATAAGATTTTCAATTGTGAATTCAAATTTGGTATGGATGTATCAACTAATTGTTGTTCACAAATGTTTTGAAACTATTCTAGTTGGCTCAGTATCATGCTTATAATATGTTTGTTTTTGCCCTGATTTTAGGATGAAGAAAGGCTACGGGTTATTTATGAGAAGAAATGTAAGCGACTGAGAATGTTGGATGTTCAAGGAGCAGAGCCCAGCAAGATTGATGCAACACAGGCTTCAATAAGAAAGTTGCTGACAAAAATTAATGTTTGTATAAAGGCTGTTGAAGCTATATCAACTAGGATACATAAGATAAGGGATGAAGAATTGCAGCCCCAGCTCACTGAATTGGTTCATGGGTATTGAATTACTTCCATTCTTTTACTATTTAAAATTGATCATCAGTGTGCTTACTAATTAGTTATCTTCATGAACCATGGTGCCTCCTGATGATCTATTACATGATTTGCCCAACACTGGGAGTATCATCCTGTTGTTTTCTTGGTGGTGGCTTTCATTGAATCCATGCACCATTAATGGCTGGTTAGGGATGAAAGAAAGGTTTAATGGGTTGGGTTATTTGACTTAGTACGTTAGTCATGCAAAACACTAATAGCTTTTTCTTTTCAATGGATACAATTAAATTGTGTTTCAATGTTGAATTGCCTCCTTTGCATAATGATATTTGCACGTATTGGTGGTATGTCTGTAAGCTTGTAAATTATAACGACATAGCTTGTAAATTGTAACGACATGGCTCCTTCATTAACTTGTCTTTTAACTTGCTGGGGAAATGACTTTAGTTTTCTCTTATTCTTGTTTATCATCCGAGTGAAAGTATCTTGTAACTTTAAAAAGATTTATGGAATATTTTATTTGCATGTTGTAAAATACTTGTGCAGGAGTTCATTATTGTCTGATGCCAACTTGATGTCTCTATCTGTTTGGAGATAATTGAAGGCTTGTTACTCATTAGTAATTACCTATTTGACTTTTGAGTGATGATGACCAAAAGCTTCAAAATATCTGCTAGTGATGTGATGGTATATTTGAAGCTTGTGAACGTCAAGAGCAGGTCTTTTATCTATTCATGATTTCCCCCCATAATGGAGGAAGACATTTATGTCTCTATGTGGAAATGACAACTGATTGCACACCTATTTCTTCTTGCTGCTTTCATTTTACTTCTTGAGGTTCTTATGTGATGATATGTGGCCATTTTAATTTGCAGATTGATAAGAATGTGGAAATCCATGCTTAGATGCCATCAGAAACAATTCCAAGCAATAATGGAGAGCAAAGTTCGCTCTCTTAGAGCAAATACTGGTTTTCATAGAGATTCAGGCTTGAAAGCTACTGTTGAGCTTGAGATGGAGCTTTTGGACTGGTGCACTCGCTTTAATAATTGGATTAACACCCAAAAGGCATATGTTGGGTCCTTATATGAATGGCTTATGAGATGCATTGAACGTGAACAGGAAATAACTGCTGATGGAGTTGCTCCTTTCTCTCCAGGTCGGGTTGGAGCTCCACCAATTTTTGTAATTTGCAATGATTGGTACCAAGCAATTGATGGAGTTTCAGAAAAGGGTGTAGCAAATGCCATGCACAATTTTGCTTCCAACCTACACCAGTTATGGGAAAGGCAAGATGAGGAGCAACGTCGGAGGACCAGAGCGCAATATCTCTCAAAGGATTTTGAGAAACGGCTTAGGGAGTTTCGCTTAGAGAGGCAGAGGATAGAGCAGGAGCAAGATGCATTATCCCATAAAACTGCTGTTTCCAAGGTTCCTTCCGAAAGTGGAGTTTCACCGCTGGATGACCTAAAGGTGGATTTGGATTCTATGAGTAAGAAATTAGATGAAGAGAGAGCTAGGCATAAGGATGCCATCAAATTAGTTAATGATGCTGCTTCAAGTAGTTTACAAGCAGGTTTGGTCCCAATCTTCGAAGCCTTGGGTAACTTTACCTCAGAGGTTTTGAAAGCTCATGAGCAGGTCAGACTCGAAAATGCTGGAGCCTCCTAGCTTGATATCTCCCTAGGAAGAAAGCCTGCCTTTTGTATGTACAGTAGACGCCATGTGATATTAGATTTGCCAACAAAGACAGCTAGGCATAACAGAAAGTGACTTTGAGGAGAACTTGTTTGGGGTTGGGGGTTGTAGAATCCTTGATACAAAAATGAACGTTGGAAGAAAGTTTTCCCAGCAGATACTGGCTTGAAACCTTAAATCCCCCTAGTTAATTAGAAATAGCCCCTTAACATATGGTTAGGTAGCAATTTTGTACAGAAAATATTCATTTATCGGTGGATTGGTTGTAAGTTGACTGTATGGGAGGAGGATTATAGCTAGGAGTAGACATATATTGTAGTTCAGTAGCTTCAAAACAAATTTTAATAGGTTAGATATATGGAAAGCTCTTTTTGGCTGCTTCCTGTTATGTTAAAATCCTAGAGATCACGTTATTCAAAAAATTTTCCAGAATAATGCCAGAGTCTTAGATTAAGGGCAGTCTTTAGATCATCCCAGGTTCTAGTAGTAGTGCCTAATTTGCACGAGAAGGTGGCAATGATCCTGCTATCATGGTAATGAATTAGAACTCCATCTCCAGCAGGTCCAGGATTTCCTATAGAGGATCCATATGTGTCGATTTTGAACATGCATCCCTTCATGAGGTGGCTCCTATCTTCTGCATAGGATGGTTTTTGTAGTGGTTTTAGAAGATTTGCAAGGCCAAGCAAAATATTCAGCAGCTTTGGTTTATCAATAGTGTTTCCAGATGGAGTATCCTCGTTATTGTAATTTATCAAAATCTAACCGGAAAGAATCGACACCATATTGGGTGCTTCTCTAAATTTTGGAAAGATACGATGGATGATATTCTCATTTTCATGACCAAGTATATGACAACTAGGATTAGGGGTGAGAAAAAAATCAAGAAAACTGAGAATCAATTTAAAATTGTAGTGTTTGATTTGGATATGATTGATTTTTTTTATTTGGTTCGATTCAAATTTAGATATTAAATATATTATTAAATTCGGATCTGATTTTTGATTGATATATAAAAAATAAATCAAATGATATATTATTATTAATTTTTATATATTTTTAAAATTTTTATAAAATAAAAATAATTATTTTACATATAAATTTATTAAAATATATTAAAAAATTTATTAAAATAATATATAAAAAATTTAAAATTTAAAAATCAGTTAATTGAATCGAATCGAATAGGTAAAATTTGATTCGGATTAAATTGATTTCAAAAGAAAAATAGTTTAGACTTGAATCAAATTTTAAAAAATTCATAATATTATATATTATCTAAAAAAATAAAATTTGATCTGATTCGAATTGTTATATATCTAAATAAGTTTAAGGGTGAGAAAAAAAATCAAAAAAATTGAAAATCGATTCAAAACTGTAGTATTTGATTTTATTTAAATATTAAATATATAAATTAAGTTCGGATCAAAATGTAAAAAAGATAAAAATAATGAACCGAATTTAATTATATATTTTTATTAATTTTTGTATATATTTTAAATTTTTATAAAAAAATAATTATTTTATATATAAATTTATTTAAATATATTACAAATCTTAATACAATAATATATAAAAATTAAAAAAATTAAAATTTAAAAATTGATAAACTAACGTGAAGTAATAAAATTTAATTCAAATCAGATTAATTTAAAAAAAATAATAGTTTGGATTCAAATTAAATTTTAAAATTTTATAATATTATATATTATTAAAAAAATTAAATCCAATTCGAACGATTATCCAAATCCGAATCCCCTTTTCGTTGAGATCTGAGGAGTACAAAAGTAGCAAGTCTTTGGTGAGCCAGAAGCCAGGACAGGTATTGAGTCCTGGGATAAGTAGGAGCTTCCAAATCCACTTGCCAGCTACATTCAGTAATGTCTTTTAGACAGCCTATAAGCATGTTTGTGACAAAAGCTGGCCATCAGGGATTCATATGAGATCTTTTACAGCACAAACTGTCTTGTCCTTGTCCATGCATACGACTGGTTTTTATCGATTCAGAATTATCACGAGGGAGGTGAAAGGAAAAGTCTTCCATCATCGAAGCACCATCTTGAACAAATAAAATTTATTAATAGCAGAGAGAATCATAGCATCCTCTCTGGTGAAAGGACCAGTATCCAAATGTCTGAGTGGTCCATGGCCTTCCAAGCTTTGCTTTATGGGCCACCTCTGATCACCCATGTTAGCATCAACCACTCGTTAAAAATATGTCCAGTGATGCCTTTCCAGAGGGGTGAGGGTCATTGTGATTATTTTCGCTCGTGAACCCAAGCCTGTTTGTCCTTTCAGGCATTCATATTTATTTTCAGTATTGCTATGTTTTTGTACTTGCGTCATAAATGGCCACAATCTCTTCTCTTTCTTTTCTTTTTTTGGTTGAAAATAAATGTGCCTAATCTCTAATCTTTAATTTTTTTTCCTAGTTTGCCATTTTCTTATTGGATAATCTTATAATTTGCCATTTTCTAACCCCATTTTGGAACGTGGATGCATTTGAGACCGCTCATGAATTATATTCTTCTGCCTGTTCATTTCAAAATTTTAATTTCAAATCTAATATATATATATATATATATTATATATTATATAATAACATATATAAATGAATTTATCACATAAATATTTATGTAAACAACTCTCTTAAATAATATATATGATAGTTTTTTTTTTAAATAAGATAATTTATTTTAATTATAAATCAGATAATTTTAAATTTATTCAAATATTAAAATTATTAAAATTATAATTAAAAATTACATCAATTTAGAGATATTTTTAAATAAAAATATAAAAGATGTATTTTATTTTTTTAATAAATAATTTTAGTTGATTACCAAATAATCTTATTTAAAAATTATTTAATTGTCAAAATCTTTCAAATATATTTAAAAATTATAAAATTAAGTTTATCCAAATATTTCAACAATCTTTTTTTTATTTAAAAATTATATTTTTTAAAAAATTTACGTAAGACATTAAAAATTCAAGCAATTTTACGAAAATATTTTGAAAATTCAAAAAATTTTCATCTTAAATTTTTAAATAATAAGATCATCAAAACCATTATATCCATTTAAACTCTAATTATCAAAATTATAGTTCAAATAAATGTAAAAAATTTAATATTATCTTTATCACTTATTATATCCTTTTTAAATTTTAAAAATTAATTTAAAAATTATCTATTTAATCCTAGTTATCACTAAAAAATTCTTCTACAATTTTAAGACTACAAATGTAATGTGTCATACATCAATTTTTTTATTTTTTTAGTAATTTTTTTCAAGGTATATTCTATTACTATTGCATTTTTTTTTTGTTTATAACTTTTTTCAATATATATTTTATTGTTGTTACAGTTTCATTCTTATGAAAAATAATATTTTTTAATTTATTTTTTTCACATATTTTTCAACATTTTTCATATTTTGCATAATAAATTAATCAAATTTACTAAAGTAAAAGTACGTTAATACTTCTTTTATTATTTAATTTTATCATTTAATAATATATATTTATTTTAAAAAAAGCATAATTTATTTTTATTTGATATAATCTTATAGTTGTATATATATTATTGTAAATAAAAATATCCAAAAGAAATACATAATTTTTTCTTGCTGTTTTCAAAAAGTTTATTTTTTAATGACAAGTTAATATATATAAATTTTATATATGTTATGAGTTTTAAAGATTTTAAGATAATTTGAAAAGAAACTAATTTGTGTATATATATATATATATATTCATATTAAATAAATAAAATTATTTCGCATATTGCACAAGTTATAATCTAGTTTTAAAATAAAATCTTAGACTTTAATGATAATGATGCTTGGTTGATACATGAAAATTATTTAAAAGGCATAAGGATTAAAAAAAAATTTCAACAAAAATTTAATAATCAATTAAATTTTTTATATTTATTATAATTAATGAAATTCTGTATATTTTATTTTGAATTAATTAAACTCTTAAATATTTATTTTTACTTAATTAAATTTTTATATATCTATTTTTACTTGATTAAATTCTCAATTGGACAGAAGCAATTAACTATTTTTTCTTTAATAAAATCTCAATTGATGAAAATAAAAATTTAATAGTTTAATTGATTGAAAAAAAATTAAAAAATTATTAAATTTTAATTCATGATTGTTTTTACTTTTTTTATATTTAAAAAATAGTTTTTAAATTTTTAAATAAAAAATATATTTTAAATTTTTATAACTTATAACATGCCCCGATCTTAACGTTATATTTGGATTGAAGGAAAAATAAATAAATAAAAATAAAGAAAATAAGAAAATTTTTTTGTTTGATTTACATTTTAATAAAAGAAAGAAAATGAAATTGAACTTACTTCCCTTTATTCTAATAGCTCCAATTTTTAATTACCCTAAGTTGGGGTAAACAGGAGGAAATGAAAAGATTAAAACTTTTTAAATATAAAATATTTTTTGTTTTTATTATATTTTATGAATTTTTAAAAAATATTATTATAATATTCAAGCTTAATTATTGATAACCATTGATACTATATTTAAATTTTTTGTAACTCATTTCTCAACTATATTTTTGTCAATAACTTCAAAATTTTATATTTTTTAAACTAGTTTTTTAAACCCGTACGGGATTTTTTATTAAATTTTTCATAATTTTAAATTTATTTTTTAAGTATTTATCTAATAAATAATCATATATTTATAAATGCTAAGTTGCAATTAAATGATAATTTATACATAATATATTATAAATGATATTGTTCATCTAAAATAAGTCTGAACTTTGGTAAATTTTAAAGAATTATAAAAATCATTTTTTCATTAAAAAATATTTTCTTCAATTTGTTTGCTAAGTACTAAAAATTTTAATATCGTTTTTTTCTTGTTTGATAAAAAATCAAGAATCAATATTTCAATAGTTAAAATTAATAATCATTTTTATCATAATGTTGATTAAGTGATATATATATATATATATATTTGATTGCCAACAAATCAGAATTATTAATTCTTTATAATCATTTGCTTTTTATTAGTTATTATTTTTAACATACTTCAAGTAATTATTATATAAATATATTGGGCTAACTATTAGTTCTATATATGTCAATAAAATAAAGTTATTTTTTAGATAAAAGGGAAACAATAATTTTTTATGTTATACTTAAAAAATTTTTTAAAAATATTTTTTTATTTTTAATTATTTTTTAACATAATTGATAATATTTTTTATAAGTTAGACATGGTAGTGATCATTGTTATTCTCATATCATCCATTGTAGACAATGATATTTAATAACAAAAAGTATAGCAAAAGGAAATAGAGAATATAAATTTACATATTAATTTGTTAATATTAAATATATATAATAATGAAAGCAAATATGTTAATAAATTAACAAAGAATAAAAATATTGAATAAATGAATAAAAAATATATATAATACAAAAAGTTAATTATAATCAATCTAAGCAAAATTAAAAAAAGTTATGGACTAAAGAGAAACAAATGAATTAACCAAATATATAATATAAAAATATTTGAATTAGAACATAAATAAAATATTATATTTATTTTCAAAGCGAAACATATTTTTATCTAACTTTTTTATCAACATTTAAATGTCTTATATTTTCATATAAATATGTAAACTTTTATTGCTTTTAAAATACATGCTTTCTAGTCAATAATTTATTAGCTTGTCTAAAAGTATTAAATATAAATAATCTATTAAATAATTTTAATTTAGATTTTGATTTAAATTTAAATTATTATCTAAAAATATTAAATTTAAATATTTTATTAAATAAAATTATTTGACAGAAAATAAAATTTTATTAAGTATATATATTTGA